AATGAAAGGTCAAGCAATTCAATTTCCTTTTCAGCATCTACCAAAGCCTATTTGAATGGAAATCTAATAAATGACTTATGTATGCTCGTCTGTCTCCCTCTCTCTCCCTGCAGGAGCTGGAGGCTGGTCTCCTCTCACCTCAGACAGGTATCAGTGGCTGGAGGTCGACCTCGGCGAGCGGACCAAGATCACCGCTGTCGCGACTCAGGGCCGCTACGGCAGCTCTGATTGGCTGACGTCGTACCTGCTGATGTTCAGCGACACGGGACACAACTGGAAGCAGTACAGACAGGAGGACAGTATAGGGGTGAGTCCGTACTGCAGTGAACAACACCATCAAAACTGTGCGGTTAGGACTACGTCGTATTTGCATGAATCATTTCATCCCTTCAGACAAAGAACTTCATTGTTACGGCTTCACTTTCGTTCGTTCTTTTGTTGTATTTCCCCTCAGGGATGAATAATAACATCGTATTGTTTTGTGTAATTCATCTGAAGTGATGTACTGCAGAGCTATGTGGCTCCGTCTACCCTGAACGGATAAACTGAGTCATCATAAGTTTATCTCTTCATTTATAATGTATGAACCGACGCTGAAGCTCTGCTGAATCGGCGCACCTGTTGACAAAACACTTAAGCTGCTGATCACGAACAGAGAGGCAGTCAATTGGCACCATTTTGTTTTATTTGTTTATTTCTGTCTGGTACTCGGTGTCGCCTTTTTGTCTCTCTCTCACTTTGACTTTTGAAAGAGGGAGTGAACATGTTGATATCGTCCATCACTGCTGCTGCAGGAACACGTTTGAAAGACGTGAACAAAGCACAGAGAAGCTCGGGGAACAACCGGGAGGCAACCTCCGGTTCTTCCAAGTGAAGCCAATGGGGAAGTGCCTTAAAACATGCATTCTCTATGCTGACCAGCAGGGGGCGACTCCTCTGGTTGTATAGAAGTCTATGAGAAAATGACTCTACTTCTCTCTTGATTTATTACCTCAGTAAACATTGTAAACATGAGTTTATGGTCTCAGTCTCTAGTTTCAAGTCTTCTTCAACACAGCATGATGTTCATTTAGTACATTATGGTCCATTTAGAGTCAAATAGACACTTTAGGTTATGCTTTAGGGCGGGCTTACTATGATTGACAGGTCACTGCTACTACCAGAGACCTATATGGCGTCTTTACATCACTTCTCCGCATTCCAAATATGGAAACTTCTGTTCATTGGTCACAAAAAACAACAACATTGCGATAGCACTAATCCTAGATTGCGAACTCGAGGCTTTAAAACGTCCACGAACCAATGGGTGACGTCACGATGACTACGTCCACTTCTTATATACAGTCTATGGTAACAACACACACAGAGGGAGATCGACTCCATTCTTTGCTCAGGCAGACATTACTCCGCTGTATCTTTACAAAGCCAACAGTTGTTTGATTTTATGTCAATGTTCTGAATAATGAATAGAGAATCTCTGAAGTGCTTTACATAGTCAAAATCTGTAGAGGAAGAAAGCTCTCGCGTTTGCTCTCCTGTTGACCTCACACTCTTGAGTGCGTACGTTGCCATTTCGAGTGCATTACAGGCTGAAATAAGAGTAATGTCAAATCAGTAAGACGTTTGGTTGTCGCGCCAATGCCTTTACTTCTGCCTGAGTATACTGTTTGCTGATGGTGTTTCCTCGTTAGTCGGTCATCACGGGTAGCAACACGGTAGCAACATGAGCCATGAAAGTGGAAAAGCTCAGCTGGTCTCTGTAGAGCTGATTAATGAAGAAATCCGTCAGATGGACAGCGGAGGCAGCGAGGCATCACCTCCCACCTCCTGGTACACACACACAACTCTTCTTCTGTGTTGTTCCGTGTTGGCCTTGTATTTGTCCCGCTGTGGTGATGGTGCACGGTTCAGTACGCAGCCACAGGAATACTAAGCGGTTCTGATCTTGTTGGTGTTGCAAACACGGTGATGAATCCTGTCAACACAGAGAGCCAGTTGAGTTACTTACTCTCCTTCTGAGCCTCATACCAACTCAAATATAGAACATTTCCCATTTCTATTTGCGTGGACATTTATCCCGGGTAAACCCACATCTGTTACAGCGGTGCAGAGAGGAGCTTTTCATTAGAAGGAGAGCCGAGGCAATTTCCCCCCCATGGAAGGAATCCAGCTAATCTCAGCGCTGAGGATGGTCTCTGAGAGAGCAGAGGACGACTTCTCACGGCTTAAAGACACGTTGATCTGACACTCTGCATAAACTGAGCACAATCCCAGTCGCATTTCAAAGTGTTTCCCAACTTCTGTGCATTAGTCAGTCGAGCTCACAGTCAGTCAAAGGAGAGAGTTGATGTCAGAGCTGTTGGATCATACTGGGCTTCTGCTTTTAGATGCCTGAAGACCAGCAGAGGAAATATCCTGTTTTCTTTTCTCCTCTTTCTCTCCGTCCTCTTTTTTTTCCAGAGGCCTGTGGGTGCTTGAAAAAATAGCAATCCATCTTTTCTTCAGGATCTCCCTCATCTTTATCGGTTTGTTTCCTCCTGCCTGGAGGGCTGGGGATGAGGTGATCTCTTTCACTTTTCCCCGTTCTTCTCAAATTGTCCTCTCTCCCTTCTGGTTCCTCCTCTCATTTTCTGACACTGCTGCTTACCTCCGTCTCACTCTCACCATGTTTTTCTTTCCCCTTCATTTTGTCCCTTTGCCATTCACAGTTTATCTCTCATCATGTCTCTTTCACTTTCTCTGCTCCTCAAAGGCAGCTGTTGAAGTTATCTTGTTAAAAATATACAAGATTTGTCAATGTCAACATTTGGACTTTTCATTGTTTCAGTATAATTAAGTTAATTGCATTGATTACAATCAAAGCCTTTGTTTATGTTTAAAGTTCCTAATCCTATATTTAATAAAGTACATTTGATATAAATTGAACACAAATGCAGTTCTTTTGATCTTGTATTTATTCTAAACACAGTTGTGCTGAACTTCTTCTGTGTGTTTTCCAGGTAGCAACAATACAGATGTATAATGAACAAGTCCTCATGATGTTTGTGTGTTTCAGTCTTTTCCAGGAAACAGTAATGCAGACAGCGTGGTTCAGTACAAACTGCAGCAGCCGGCCATCGCTCGCTTCCTCCGCCTCATTCCTCTGGACTGGAACCCCAGCGGGAGGATCGGACTCCGGCTGGAGACCTACGGGTGTCCTTACAGTAAGTCCTTTCTTTATCACCGGCCTGACTGGACTCTCTGTCGCCCAGCTGTCCTCCAGAGAAACATAGTTTGCATGGAGGACATAGCAAACAACAAATCACTACAACTGAGTAGAGAAGGACTCAACATCTCAATCAATACAACACATTTAATTTGGTTAAAAACAAAAGAAACACTCGTTACACATCACACCAAGTATTGTTTTTGTCTTTCACAACCAATCCTCCCTGGCTGCCTTTTCTTTGAAGCATTTCCATTTTTCACAACTACTTTACACTCTCCGCTCTGATATTAACAGTGAAAACAACACGTATCGCATCGTGTTAACAGATCCCGGCTCTGTAATTCTCAGATGATGCAACATATTGTCAGCTTCAGCCGCTGGCATCAACACGATGAACTAAACACACATCCCACTAAAACATATGTTCTGACTTTCTCCCATTCTGTGTCTAAATTACACTACAGTTTATTGTATCAGTAAATTGCTCCATGGGGAAAAAAATCTGTTTTCTTATTTGAGCCAATAAACATATTAATAACATGTATGAATTGATTCATCTTTCAAAAAATAACAAATACAACAAATACGAGTTTAGGATTAGCATGCATCTAAATACATTATATCTGCACTGAATATGACTCCTCATCATCTTCTTCATCCTCTTCATGACTCGCTTGAAGAAGCAGGTCTTTGTAATATTTTGTCCTCTCAGCATTAATTCCCTGCTGTGTCTTTGCCCTCATTTCTGTCCTCACGGCTGGTCTTTCACTATATTTGGCCTCATAAAAACACACCACACTCATGAATATCAAAAACAGCTCCACACATTGACATTAAATTAAACAGTAAATATGAATGTGCAAACATGATTTCCATAAGGACTGTGTCTCGTATTCTATCAGCAGTGTGTTATTTCTGGTTCTTCCTTTCATCTGTACTTTTGTTTTCAAACTGTTGATTGGAGTGAAACAGGAAGTATATCAAAGGGGTGTCATAGAGTCATTTCACTTATTCTATTTCTATGGTCCGCATGCTAACATGCTCACTATGACAATGCTGCGTTTGCTTATTAGCACGAAACACAAAGTACAGCTGATGCTACTTGTTAAGGGCATTAGTTTTGCAATTATTTGGTCATAAACTAAAAGTATCGGACAAATTGAGATGTAATTCAAAATCACAAATATCAGGGGGTCACTAAATTCAATTGTCTTCATCCTCTGGGGACCATGAATGTCTGCATATTTCTTTATTTACTGTAAAGATAGGAAGCATTAACACAATTAGCAGAGAAAGAAGTAAAATTATTTTCATTTCCTAAGTTTTTAGCCCACAGCTTAATATTTAGGAAGGATAATGAAGCATATTGCTTTACGTCCAGTCGATAAGCGCGTACCAAGTTAGTTAGTTGATCTTGCACTAATGTGGCCTCTATACACTTCATATATTTAGAGGTCCAGACGCAGGTATACCGAAGAAGCAGCATAACACTCTAGGCACTATCTCATTATATGAGTTCACCAAGTGGAAAGATGATTTATGATAAAAAAACCATTTTGTGCCCCTTAATAAAACTGTGTCCCGTCCGGAAGAAGATGGATTATGGGACACATTAAATAGATGGATTTTGATAAATAGCCTGTAGTGGTTTGGAAATATTCTCACGTTATCTAAGGACACAGCAGATCTATTACTTAATATGTTTATCAGTCGGCGTGCCGGTTGGCGGAGGAGACTCGTGGGTTTCCTGGTGGTAAACTAATGTAGCGTGCACAGCAGAATCCTCTTTGGAAAAACAAATGCAATATACTGAAGGAAGCTGAAATATAGCTGTTGGCAGCAAACAGTTTACCGCAGTGTGAAAAATGTCTTGTTGGTATTAGTCTGTTATTGAGGCAACGCAACAAAACGTTTCATAATGCGTCTCGGCGGATCATGTGTTGAGGCTTAAGCAATCAAATCAATAAAAACACTCATCATCGGTGGTACAACCTGAACAAACAGCACAGACATCACACCATGTCGGTCACTGTACGCACATGTGCCCCCAACACAGGGACCGTCCTAAGGGACGTGGAGGATAAATGTGTTTGTACACATTGTACAGTTGATATGTTTGTCAGTATAGCTGAGTTTGCCATATTGTTTTTACTTGCAGAGCAACAGATTGAACGATAATATGACGACAAAGTAAAGGTCAGGGACGCTATTTTAATATATCGTTTTTGCCCTTTTTGTGTCAGATTATTCTTTTCGAAACAGGTAACACGTAGAGAGTCAAAGCTTTTATTCTGAAGGATTTGGGCCAGAAGCTTTATTGTTGTTGCTGCAAGTAAAATATTTCTCAGGATGATGCAGATGTTTTGCAAGAGAATAAAAAAAGTGCATTGTCTTTTTTTAACCTTCCCATCTAAAATATCTCACCCCACGTTCCTTCCGGGGAAATTGAGTTTCAGTCACTTCTGGGTTTGACAGATTAAGAAGCTAAAATCAATATTTCTGTATTAACGATGACACATGGCTGCTCGTTGTCTCGTCTTTTAGCTCATTGTTATCCAGCACGCAAGTTAACCGTTTTGGTTCAGTTTCACCGTTTTCATCAGCATCATTTCCAGCTGCAGCAGACAGATGTTTTCAGCATCACACCGGCCGCAACGCCAAATCAGGCCAGGGGCCCCACAGGTGACAACAGTACCAGCCACATGCGACTGGTAATCAGTATCTGCTGGATGAATAAACAACTATTTACGACCTCAACTTTATGATAGTATATCACTGTTCTGTCTGCAGCTTGTTTCCACTGCCCCTAAGTGGTTTTAATGCAGTTTTGAAGAGTCTGTTAATAAAGCAACAAGCTTAATCACTTTTTGCACAGAATAAAAACTGAGAGGTTAATAGCTTGTCAGTTGCTGGACTGAACACAAAGTAAAGACACTCCTAATTAATGTTCTTGCTATAAGACTTGTCAGACTGTAGCGATGTTGTCTCGCATGCTGTAAGATGAAGAGTAGGCTACCGAGTGTCAAAGTTATGACTCGTAAACAAGCAGCGATCTGTTATCGGGATGATTATAATCAGATAAAATATTATATTCTAGGATGAAACATAATCTAGGACTGAATGGCCTGTGAGTGGTAAGAGTAGTAAAGTAGACTTGAAGTAATGTTTCGGCTTTACACACTGAGGATGACTCGGTGCTCTGGAGCTTCATCTCGCTGCTCTGTAATCAGAAAGAGCACCGGACAATCCAATAAGAGCATCGCTGCGAGCGAAGTGGCTGTGAGACTGTGTCCTGGCGTTAAGGAGTAAAAGACTCGCCAAGTTCATTAAAAAACGTTCAGTCAGAGAAACTTGTTGTACGGCTGCAAAAGGAAATTGATGCTGAACTCAGCTGCTGCTCTTTTCTTTTTTTTTTTCGAGAATTTAGTATTTGCCGTGCATTATTTCACAGCCTACACGCTGTTCACCTCACCTCAGCCCAAATCCCCATCGAGCAAGTGAGACCCCGAGGTGAAATTGAATAATGAAAAGTGATAAACAGAATACAGATTCAGTCGTACACTCTGCTGCAATCATATCAATGTCAATATCAATATGTGATGTCAACCAATATCACATCAACCGAATTTATGCCCAGATGTAGGAGGATTTTGTGTTTTTGTCGGTGTGCAGTATGTATTATTAACAGCAACTCTGACACCTAATTATCTGATGTGGACTTGAATATTCTGAAGACGGCAGTGTGTTCCTCCACACTGAAAGGAATGTGGTCATTGTTAAGCTGTTGTTTTTGGTTCAGGCTCCGGTTCGGATGTTTCACAGTTTTTTGATTGTTAAGTCTTTGACTCCTCTGTGTCTGTTTTGTCTTCCAGCCTCTGACGTTGTGAGTTTGGACGGCGGCAGCAGCAGTCTGGTGTACAGGTTGAGTCCCGGGCTGCGGGGGACGTTCAGAGAGGTCGTCTCTCTGAAGTTTAAAACCCTGAGGAATTCTGGGACACTGCTGTACGCAGAGGGAGAGGGAGGACTCGGGCTGAGTCTGGAGTTAGAGAGAGGAAAGCTACTGCTGCTGCTCAGACAAGGTAGGACACACCGCATACATAATCATATCCACTGACAAATACTGCACTGGCCTCCTCTCATACATATGCAGTACACTGGAGCATAACACAAAAACCCTCTCTATCCTGAAACCCTCTCTACCTACGTTTTTGTTCAGATGAAAACACTACAAAGTAAAACAATGAGACGCAGCAACAGGCTCCTCAAATACACCCAATATACAAGAAGAAGAAAAGCATTTGTAATTTATAAAATAACAACATTTTACAGCATTTAAAACGATTTTGTGGAATTTGGTGCCTTTAAAAATGTACCCCCTGTAATGTTTCACGCTATTTAAAGTTATTTAAAGACTCTAAAGAAAGCTCGTCGTTTTAGGATTACTAAATTACACTCCTTCTTTCTGATATCCAATGAAAAAAAACCTTGAGCTGAAACAATTCGATCAGCAAAGAGAAAGTTTGTTGACAATATAAAGCCCTCTGAGATAACTTTAGATTGGTTGTGGTTGGTTGAGGTGGGCGACACGCACGCTGCCGCCTGATTGGTTTAAATCTTGGCCCACGCTCCGCTGCTGCATCTCAGTCTAGTTGCAGACATGATGGATGGTACCCGCTTTCTGTAGCATGTGTTAGGGCCGGACTCTGCAAGACGTGATGCATAGCTTACAGCCTGTACATAGGGAGGTGTGTGTGTGTGTGTGTGTGTGTTTAAATGGGGTTAAACCAGAGGTTTACATGCTGAATCATCACCATATGGCTCCCCTCTCATCAGAAACCCCATCTGGCTGCTGAAATACTTTCTTCATCTGTCCATCCATCCAACTCATTCGCCCTCTGCATTTCATATCTCCCAAAGGTTTTCCCCATCCCCCCTCTTTCTCTTTCTCCTTCTCTTTCTCTTTCCTTCTGTCCATCTCTGATATATTTTTCACACAAATACTCTTCATCCCAGCATCCTTATCTTCCTCCATCCATTCCTCTCCCACATGTCTGTTCTATCTTTCATCCGTCTGCCTCCCTCGTCCGTCTGCCCCTTCTCTCTTTCCTCCGTCTCACAATGCAAACTTGTGAAACGATGACGGCACAGCCTTAAAGAAAATGTTAATGAATATAAATGTAAAGAATCCTCTTTTCTAAAGACCCAGACGTCTCCCTGACAAGTGGATCACCTTGTCTCCTGTACGAGACTGACTGTGTTACCTTCAAGAAAAACACCTCCACTGTGACACTCGCGTGTGATTTAACCCAAGATAGGAGGCTGGACGTAGTCGTGGTTATGTCGCCCGTTGGTTGGTGGACTGCTGTTTTGATTTCTTCGTCGCCATCTTGGATTACAGCCGTCACCGTGTTGTTTTTTACGCAACCAATGAACGAAAGTGACCATATTTGGAATGCGGAACAGTGACGTAGAGACCCCGTATACAACTCTGGTAGCAGCAGCGACCTGTCAATCACAGTAGCCCCGCCCTAAAGAAGACTGTTGAAGAAGACTTGAAACTAACAATCGAGACCATGAACTCATATTTACAATGTTGACTGAGGGAATAAATTAAGTGAGAAGTAGAGTAATTTTCTCATAGACTTCTATACAACCAGAGGAGTCGCCCCCTGCTGGTCAGTAGAGAGAATGCAAGTTTTAAGACACTTTTGCATCGGCGTCACTTGGCAGAACCAGAGTTTGCCGCCTGGATTTAACTGAAGGCTGTTCCCCCTTAAAATGATTCTGTGCCATCTTTTAGAGCAGCGGCTCCACCTTAAAGACTGTTGTGTCAAAGAAAGTCTGTGTCATTGAAAAGCAGCTCAGCGAGAGGAAATTAGAGCCCTCCATTGAAATGAAAGCAGGGACATGGAGAGGAGCTCAGACCGTCTCTCTTCTTCTTCTGTCTTTGTTCTTCATCTGATATGTCTGTTCCTTTCTGTTCCTCTCTACATGACTCTTTGCTTCTGTTTCCCTCTTCCTTTCTGTTGTAATCACGGTTTGTCTCCATAGATCTCGTTGCTATATTTTCACTTCAGAAGAGACCATTTGCCTCTTTCAGCGGAGCGCTCTTCATTGTCTCTCTGTCCCTGACACGTACACACTCTTTGATATTCCCCCTTCAACCATCTTCTCTGTAGTCTTCCTTCATTGTTATGTGTCTCTGTGTTCTGAATGTGCCAACACAACTCGTGGCCTGCTTGTCCTCCATGTCCATGAGCCCTTTTCAGTTCTGTGTCCTTCAATAAGGAGCAATAAGCAGGTACAGAATAGTTGGATTAACACTTGTATGTAACACTATAGTTTATATTAACAGAGTCAGTACCTCTACTTTCAGTTACTTTTGTGAAGCCCGTAATGATTCTGAATGATCATTTCTTTTATGTTTGACACAGAAGAAGATGCTGTAACTGCTGCAATTTGGACTGTCACATTTTCTTTTTAATCTGGTTTCTACAGTTTGTCAAATGAAGAATTGCCTCTCCAGACAGAGCTTCTGATTCGGGCTGAATATGTGACAGGCGTTGTGCTTTACGAGAGTCAATTGCTGAAATGATTATACCAGCATGTTTTCAGATAAGAGCCGTCAGTGTCTCTCTCCATAATCAGATTTTAAGCGGCAGTAACAGAATAGCAGACAAGACGCGATGAGGTGATTCTGTCTTGAGGACATGAGGAGAATAATAAGGTAATAGAGTTCAGCAGCACAGACTGAGGTAGTTTTTAGACGTCATCCAGAGCTTTTTCTGAACGCCTTTGCTTGCCTGCCGCCTGCCTGTATAAAGCAATACCGAACAGCTCTACCAACAGTTTGCTCTCTTGCTCATGGGTTCATAGTTAAAATAGATCAAAGTGGATTCACGCTCAAACAAAGCTAATATCTGAAAGTGCACATGGACACTTGTTTCTCTTCTCTTATCGTACAAGGCATGGGGATGGATTTGCATTGGAGCGATGCCATTTTGCAGTTGTCCAAACGCACAGCTGCTGCTCTGTCTTTGTTTCAATTCAATTCAATTGTACGGCCCACAATTACGAATCACAAATTGGCCTCAGAGCGCTTTACAATCTGTACAGCATCCGACATCCTCTGTGCTCGGGCCCTTTGCATCGAGACAGGAAAAACTCCCCAAAAATAACCTTTGACGGGAGACAAAAAGGAAGAAAGCTCAGGGAGAGCAACAGAGGAGGTTAATAGAGTTACAACACATTCAATGCATGTGACATAAATTATTCATATCATGAGAGTAGTAAGCAGAATAATGATGGAATAAAAGCTGACTATAATAATGAGAGCAGCAGTGGATATAATAGAATAATAAAAGCAGTAATGATAGCAATAGCTTGCACTGTTTGGTAAAACAACATGCCACTGTTCGAGTTACACGTCCTGTATTTGGGTGAAAAATAAGCCACAAAGCTGCAGCATCGTGCTTCATCTTAAATCCATAAACACAAGGGTTCGGTTAGTCGCCATTATCCCAATACTTCCCGTGGATCCCTGGTTAGACTGGTATGTAGCAACAAAAAAAGCTCATTGTGAGATATAGCCTAAGCCACTTATTTCTTAAAATGTCCCATTTTATCACGAAACAATTCGACAGCATCATCAAATTCATGGGGCAACTGTCGCCTGTGTCTCACGCATCACAAATAATTGACATTCTATCAACACAGGCAACACAGACAGCTCATTAGAGCAGATATTCAACAGACATGTCGAGCCAGTTGGTTATATTTTACAATTAAAAATGGTAACAATAATAATACTTCATGTGTCTGTCACGATAACGACAATCGGTGCCGGCGATTCTCTTACACGACCAAATTTGACAGAATTGATCTAAAGAATGTGAAATTATAAAAGTAAGCAGACAAGCCAGATTGGAAATGCAAAAAAAAAGGCAAAGTGATTGTTATTTTGTGGGGCGAAGCAGAAAAAATACAAAGCAAACTGACCTTTAATAGATGATGCCTAAAACCATGCAGTGAGACAAGGAATACAGCTTTTAATCAGCCCTATAAACTCGTAGCTTTTCTCTTTCTTCTGCTGTTCGCTGCGGAATTTAACTAACTCATTAACACAATAATATCTACTGTAACAAAGGTCAGTGATGACGGATGGGTTTGACATTCACAATGTCTTTTCTCTCCCCAGGCAAAAAGAGAGAGATGGTTCTTTATAAATATTGATATCAATAGAGGGATATTCCAGTTGCTTGGCCTCTGATCTCTCACATTGATTCCTGCTTTCTCTTTCCAGTCATTCACACAGTAATCAAATCATCCATCCAGTGAAACCCTTCATCATCAGATCCTCTCTTCTCCACCTCCGACAACATAACAATTGTTCTATTAATCAATCCCTTACTCAATCCCTTTTAATACGTCTGATTTGTTTGTAAGTCTCTCCTATTGATCTCTCTCCACTCGTCCAACTCATCACAATAAAACTCTGGATCACGAGGTCTGCATCCTAACGTTCTCTCTCTGGATGAAGTTGTTTCTTCTCATCCGAGCCGCAGACAAATAAGCCCTCTCACATAATGGGCTGCATTATCAGAAATACATTCGTCCATCATCTTCAAACTGTCTCTGTTTCTCTCTTTGAAGTCGCAGTCGTCTCTCCCTAAAGAATATCTAATACATTTTTAATAGCTGACTCTGTTCGGCTCTTTCTCTCAGCAGAAGACACAAAGTTTCTCCTCCAGTGCTTTCTGGGGACGGCTCCACTTGTTTGGACCCGCTGGTGCTCATCAATCATTAATGACGTCTTGCTGTGTTTCCTCTGCACTTTTTTTTAGGCATTATCACATATTTGGCTCCCAGTGCATGTATGCAGATACACTGTAGTCCCTAATGAGATGAGAGAGGGCGACCTCGCTGTGATCCTCTCCGTGGGATACCGAGAAAAAAGAGAAATATTTAGACGCAATACGGAGGCTGGTGTGTTGTAGCTGTCACGGGGCTTTTGTTTCCCCCGACACGAGGTCAGACTGTTGGAAAGAAGCAGGTCAGATAATGAGAAGACAACAAACAAACAGACAAACAAACAGGTCAGATAACTAAAGATAGAAAAAGGAGAAAACAACTGCTGTTATGCTATTATACTCAATGGAAGCAGACCACACTCACACGTCAAATAACTTGGAATAAACGTTTCATTTTATCTTATTTTTCTTTTTTAACGTCTGGTTCAGGCTTTGAAAGTTAAACAGCGGCGATATGTTGATTGAAAGACTGTCAGTATGTGATTAATCCTCTCTGTGTCTGTCTGCTTTATTCTCTCCCTCCCTCCCCTTTCTTATTGCCATCTCATCATCTGCTACCTTCCCTTCACTCTTCCCTTCTTGCTCACCTTCATCCTCCTCCTTTTGCCCGACACTTTCCCTCCTCCTCACCTTCATCCTCCCTGTCCTCGCCCCTCCTTCCTCTTACCTCTTGTCACCTGACTTTCTCCTGATCTTCCTCTTCATCCTTGTTTCCCCTCCTCCTTCCTCTCCTCCTGTATGCCCTCTATTTTCCCTCCCTTTTCTATCCTTTCACGCCTTCACCACCTCAACGTCCTTTGCCGTCTTGTCGTTATCACCTCCCTCTTCCTCCTCACCTGCGCTTTTCTCTCGCTCCTCCTCCATCATTCCTCGTCTCACCTCCTATCCACCCACGCCCATCTTTTTCTCCTTTCCTCATCTCTTCCAGGTACTTCCTCCTCTGAACCCCGGCATCTCGCTTCCCTCGGCAGCCTGTTGGATGATCAGCATTGGCACCATTTAGCAGTGGAGCGGCACAGCGCTCACCTCAACCTCACTGTGGACAAACACATGGAGAGGATTCAAATCCCCGCAGAGTTCAGCGGCTGGGACATCGAGAAGGTGAGAGGAGAACAACGCTGCTCTGACACAAAAACCACGCCTACATAAACACAACATATGCATTTGCATTTTCACAGCAAAAATCGTTTTTGTCCCCATGCAGCTGAGTGTCGGGGCGGTCCAGGGCCTCGTCTCCGAGAGGAACTTTCACGGCTGCCTGGAAAACCTGCTGTACAACGGCCTCAACCTGATAGAATCAGCTAAAAACAAAGACCACCGAGTCACTGTTGCGGTGAGAACATTTTATCATGAACTCCCGGTTACGTGAAATGCTCTTATCTGAGCTTTTCTTCGTGATGAAAGCTTATCATCACTTGTTAATGTCTCATTTTGTTTTCAGTTTGTTTATATGGTTGTTAGGAGCTTATAGGTCAGAGCCTAAATGGCAAAAAAAAAAATCCACATTGCAAATACTCATCATCATCAGATGTAGACAAGCAACTAGCTTAAAAAGTTGGATCCATGGGAAATACAAGTCTCCGATTCTTTTGTGGCACCACATAGTTTTCTTTTTTCCTCCACTGTGATGATGACAGATCACGTTGATCATCTGGGGAAAGCGAGGAGCTTTGATGTTCAGCTCTTCAAACTCTCAGCTTTTATTTCTGAGAGAGAATACAGCATCAATAGCTGGAGCCGCGCCACCTAAAATACAATCTGGAGGCTAAATCTGTCCTTCCACCAGCTGACAAAAGATTCTGCTTGGTGTTGTTTTGTGACTTACTCGTTACCATGAAGACACAAGCTAAGAGTCTACCGAACTAATCCCTCACATGCATTATAGATGAGGTCGTGCGTGGCTACATGCAGGTTCATGTCGCTGCTGCTAATTAGCTGCTAGCTGCTTGTTGAAGCTGACGAGCGCTTAAAAGAGGACAGTGAGTGATGAGAGGACAGTGAGTGATGAGAGGACAGTGAAGTGTCGGCGGTGGGTAGACTTTCAGTAAAGCTCCCTCGTCTTTGTCATTAGGACTTTTAGGAGTTTCCACACTGACGATAAGTGGATCGAGCTAAGTGGAGAGCAGAGCTGAACCATTTCTAATAAGCGGTCTGTCGTTACAGTGAAGGACCGGAGAAATAACGGTTCAGAGATTCACATGCATGGCTGAAGATCTAATAGGGGCTCTATTAGCTGTAGTCATTTTTAATATAAAGACCACTTTTGGCCATTCTTAAAGGTACGATAACAAAATGTAAGTAGAGCTTTAAATGATGTATGTGTGTTTAAGTGTGTGAGGGGGATTTTGGGGTGCACAGTGTGTTAGCAAATAGCCTTTGGAGGATTTTATTGCTCACTTTTTACTTTATATTTTGCAGTGGTGCTGCATCCTCCACCACCTACGTCCATACATCTTTTTAACAGCTCCGCAAAGGGCTTTTAGATGTCATCTGTGTTTCCGGAGCATTATAAAGATAGCAGGCTGATATTCCCTGCAGAGGGCTGGGACTGTAATATATAACTGCTGCAGCCTTTGCAATGGACCCGGTGTCATTACCACTACTCAAAACAATGGGCCACAACGGAAACGTCTACAGAGCACTGCTCACATTCATACCCACCTCCCTCCACACCTCTTGGGTGACATTGGTATTTTTCAGTTTGCAATCATGGCTTTTATTCTCAAGGAGACTTGCTGATGAGATCAAGTGACACGAGGTCACATCGGCACGCCCTCTGCAGCTGATTAATATTCATGTTTAATGTTGTTTAATCTCTCTTGTAATCATTTTCTCGCTCTCCACGCTGCATGTTTCTCTCTCAGGGCAATGTGACCTTTTCTTGTGCTGAGTCGGTTTCCGTCGCCGTGACGTTCCCGGGCCCCCAGAGCTTCCTCCAGTTGCCGGGGGCGGCTGCGTCCTCGTCGGGGGGCGTGTCCGTTGGGTTCCAGTTCAGGACCTGGAACAAAGCGGGGCTTCTGCTCACCTTTGACCTGCCTCAGGAAGGGGGCGTGGTCTGGCTGTACTTGAGCGAGGCCCGACTCCGGCTGCAGATCCATAAAGCCGGCAGGGCGCTGCTGGAGCTCAGTGCAGGTCGGTCTAACAGCCTGTGCAATTCACTCTTGTTAAAATTACTGAATTTAATGATAATAATTATGATGATTATCATTAAACGTTCTCCCAGGTTCTGCTCTGAATGACGGTCAGTGGCATTCAGTAGAGCTGAACTCCAGACGAGGCCGTCTGACCGTCGCTGTGGATAAAGAGGAAGGAGGCGTCGCTCACGCCAGCCACTCCGTCACCGCAGGAAGTCAACTCTTCTTTGGTGGTAAGGCTGAAACAAATCATGTCAGTAGAAAATCTGGGTTGAGCATAAATTAGTAGTCAAGATAGGTTTAAGTACATCAACATGTGGCAGTGGGTCTGTGGTTGTTAATATTTCACATTTGAATTTCATTTTTCACAGTTTTAGGCATTTTACCGAAAAGTCTTATTTAATATCTCTCATTTATGAATTATTCTATTTAATGTGTTTCTTTTTCTTTTGATGTCAAGACGCAGACTCCCAGTCAATGCAACCCACCTGACCTTTATATTGTTATTATTTATATTACCTTTTTAGAAAACTTAGTTAAGATGTTGTCTTTTCATATACATAGAAGCGTTTATAATTCAAACTATAGTTGCAGCAGATACAGGAATCATGTAAAGTGACTGTTCACTGTGACATTTCTTCCTACTGTACAGAACAGCTGGTGTCTCACCTCTACAGTTGTTTGTTCTGAGCCAAGTTTAGCTCGAGGCTGTTTTATAATGAATGTTATGAGGTTCGCTTCGTCTTCCCCTCCCTCTTTTCTCCGCTCATTTTACTCGCTTCCTCTCTCTCTCCTCTTTCCCTTCCTGTCTTCTTCCCTCTCTTCCTGCCCTCCAGTCTTTTTCATTTCTTTCTCCGTCTCTCTCTTTTGCCACTTGGCTTCCTCGCTGCCTCCTTTTCTTAAATCTCATCTCTTGTCTGCTCTCTGCTCAGCCGTATTACAATCCAGGCATGTTCTCTAACTGCCTTAGGCTTTTTATCACACACACACACACTTACACATTTACACTAACTCTGTTTCCAGGTTAAATGGACTACGAACAAATGAAATAACTGTATTCGTTTGATCGAGTCACTTTAGCTCTCTGCTTTCTGTCCTGTCCAGGTTGTCCTGCTGAAGAAGACGGTCAGAACTGTAAGAATCCCTTCAGCCTCTTTCAGGGCTGCATGCGTCTCCTCCGTGTGGAGAACCGGCCGGTGGACCTGATCATGGTGCAGCAAAGACTTCTGGGAAATTACAGCCACCTGCAGATTGACATGTGTGGCATCATCGACAGGTCAGAACCACCAAAACCCGTCTCACTGGTCTACCACTGAACCGTCATTTCACCCTCCCTGCCATTACTGAGCAGCTATACGTCAATCATTGTATTCCTGAGGTGATCAGCTGGTGTTCTCTACGTTTGCTGCCTTGAGCTTCATATCGTGGGGCATCTGGAAGTGTTCACTGTAAAATATTCGGCACAGACTTACATTGGTTTTATGGTTCCCTCAATGGAGTGCAGTTTTTGTGACATGTCTATATCTCTGTTGGTTGATGGGCGTGTCAGAGTGAACAAATACAAACACTGCATTGTTTCAAACAGCTGTCAGTGTACCAGAGATCACACAAAACATATAGTTATAGTAGCTACACCTATTTTTTGCTTTGTGCTCTTTGTGAAAGGCTTTATAGTCTTCAGTAATATATGACAGTAGACAGTTCTTAAATCCAGTTCTTACATCCAGTAATAAACACTCCCCCACCAGGTGTTGGACCCATTGCATCTTGAGTGCAACCCTTTAACCACTCAGCCATCCTGGTGATATCATCTTTTGAAACTGTCCACACAATGAAAATGCTTTCAAAGCCAAAACCCGAAAATTCCATGAAACCATCTTTTCTTTTCACTTCAACAAGCTCATCAAGGTAATCAAACACGTCTAAACAGCATGTTAAGTTATGATTTAACTTTTTCAATGACAGCATTTTTGTGAGAGTAGTACACAAAGCAGTGTAGCATAATGTAATGCATCCATGACATCCTCGTGGTTAGTTCACTTGTTTATGTTAAACGGCAAATGAATAAATTCCATGTTTTGTGGGAGGCTGTGAAGACAACCTTCAGCACTAAATGTTATCCTGTCTCTTTGATTTTATATATATATATATATATATATACAGTTGTGTGAAAAAGTGTTTGCCCCCTTCCTGATTTCTTATTTTTCAGTTTTTAAATGAAGGTTTTTATTATTAAGGGGGAAAAAAAATCCAAACCTACATGGCCCTGTGTGAAAAAGTGATTGCCCCCCCCCCTGTTAAAACATAAATTAACTGTGGTTTATCACATCTTTGGAAAGCTGAGTTCAATTTCTCTAGCCACACCCAGGCCTGATTACTGCCACACCTGTTCTCAATCAAGAAATCACTTAAATACTTTTTCACACAACTGTGTATATATATATATATATATATATGTTTGAGTAGAAAGGCAATGGGTACAAAGCATCTTACTTTGTACACTACTGTTTTTAAACCAAACAGAACATGCGGACACAAACAAAAGGACAAACCAATGTTAAAGTGGAAAACGAAACAAAAGTCTGTGTATAGCAGAGAACCATGTGGGTACAATAATCCTGCTCTTTTCCCTTTCTGTCTTTAATTGACTTACTCCTCACTGGAACAGAACAAAACAAAAAAATGACTCACTTACTGTTTTAATCTCCAAAATACATATTGTATCTTTTACATCATCTGCAAATGCACATGAACATCATTTTAGAGGAGAAGAGATCATTGTTACCCATAGAAATCGAGGTCCTCCTATGAACTGTTGGACATGTAGACAATGATAAGTTGAGATGTATTATGTCTCAGCAGGTGTTCATAAGGTATAGTCCTGATCTACCAGGAGTGGGGTTTGAACCCACGTGGGCTCATGCCCATTGGATCTTAAGTCCAACGCCTTAACCACTCGGCCATCCCGGTTAGTGGTCAGTGGAATTTGAAGAAAGATATAACCCAACATTCACAGTCCTGCTCTGAAATGTAATTTTTATTTTCTTTGAATTCTTGGCAGAGTAATTTATTTCTGAGGTGAAGCGATGTGTTGTGAGAGTTGGATCAGAATAATTAGAAACAAACAATCAAAAGCATCCTCTCGCACTCCCAGTTTTTCCATTAAAGAACGGTGAATTATTGTTCGGGGGAGACCTAAGGTGTGAAATAAACTCGCAATCCATCCAATAGTTGTTTAGATATTTCAGTTTGGACCAAAGTGATACAACTAGAACCTTATTGCAAGCATGGCTATTGATGCAATACGTTATAATAGAAGATTATATGGAAAATATCACAATTTATATATACTGTATATAAATAAACAGCCATATCCTCACCAGAGACGGAGAATCTGCTCCAGTGGGTTTCATTAATTATCTCCTTGTTTCTACATTTATCAGATTATTATCCAGCAGGATTCTTTTCTCGCTCAGATCTGCTCACCGGAACAGAACAAAACAAAAACCATGACTCCCACTGCGCGTCCCTTCATCGTAACTCTTAAAAATATAAAGTTAACAGGAAAATGGAGTTACAGTCACTGCTTCCATACGCTTCTCCGACCTCAGAGCAGGGAGTCACATCTGTGTTGGCGTGTCCGTGCGCAGGCTTAATAACAGTGGAACCCCATACGACGAGTACAACACAGAAGCAGCCATGCATTTAATGGACTTGACCCATCAGTCCTGTTGCAGGACTAGTGCTCTAAAGAACTTCTGATCTAAACCGCGTTCGGCAGCAGCGTGATCAAGAAGTCAAGAGAAGTCAGTCCGTTTCCTGTTAGAGGTGAACAACCTGGGAATGAGGGCAACAACAACCTCGTATAACACTGATGTCAAAGGCTTGAGAGTGAGAGGAAGAGATGGAGGTGCAAAGCGTGTCACACTTTAACGCACAAGACGGAGCTTTTGGTCCCGTCTCCTAACATCAACGTTAGTTTGAATTGAACAAGAAAAGGCAACAGCAACGTGGAGCTGTCTCATTTAATTACTTCTTCTGTTGCAGTCTTTAACCGCCATGTCAGCCCAGCTCGACAGCTTGCTGTATTCCTCCCTCGAGGACTCGTTGTCGACGTTTACATGGATGCAGATTTAGACATTAAATATGAACAGGCTTTTTCATTTGACAACTCCCAAGTATGTAGACTCTGACTTCCTCTGTTTGAAGGTAGTAGATCCTTTTACATGTTTGTAGTTGTTTGTGATCTAAGGTACAGTATGCTCTCTCATATCGTGGTGTTTAGGGGAGCAACTGATCACAGAACATACGGTTCGGATCATTTCACGGATTTGAGTCACGGATCATATCAGCACAAAAGCAGCAAATATAACTTTTAGAGTTATATTTTTGCTACCAATACCAATTCATGATCGTTGATGATCCATACTGGCAGATACAGATCGTTCTTGTTGTTTTATTTTGTTTTGTTTAGACAATTTATTTTTTTGCCACTGTTCCAAAAATCATTTCAACCGCTCTGAAGTCAGTCATCAGTAGTCCTCCGGCCAATAGAGATACAGATGAGCTTATATTATCACACATACATTGTCTACAGTAATCAATATTCATTTGTGCAACATGTTGACCATCAATATCTTTCTAGAAGAGATCCATTTTACAATACAACACAATACCAGGAGTGGGGTTCGAACCCACGAGGGCATTCGCCCATTGGGTCTTAAGTCCAACGCCTTAACCACTCGGCCATCCTGGTGCTGTCATTTACATGTTACATGGTATGAATCGATCCTTAAAGGTTCCGCCAAAAATTTCAGCTGTATATAGTTCACACAGAAAAAAGCCAAACATACACATTGCATTTTGCCCGATAGTTACTCAGTCGCTTGACACTTGTTACTAACTGTGACAATAGGATGGATATTTAATGCTGTGAAATACTTCTGTAATCATATATTAGTTGTAACTTGAAGATACTCAAGTTCTCCCACTGAAGGACTTCTACGTCATTGGTCTTGTCAGTACAATAGTCGACTCATTTAGGCAAAGACGGAACCAAATATGAAACTCATCAACAGTCAGAAAGAGACCAGACGTCACCACTGCCAGGCTGGGTTTGATTACTGTACGTCAGCCCTGGAACCCTGCCGCACTCACACAAACACTACATATAGCAAATAAAAGAGCCAAGCTGTGTGGTAATGTGAATTTAAAGTGAAATGCTTTATCTGCGAGGCTCCAGCGCACTCGTAGAGATAAATGGAGGTAAAAGTCACACTGTAGCAGGCAGACAGGCTGCTTAGTCAGCGCTTTTATCTAAAGAAAAGATTCTGCACAGTCTTCTGTTTCCTCTTCAATATTCCACCCTGGGTTTGGGCGAACACACTCAAACGCTATCACATGTTTATAGAAGTAAACACGCTCTAAAACATGTATTTAACAACACAACATAGACCAACCGTCAAGCTTCTTAAACACAGATGACGTTGAATTGTGTGTGTGTTTGTCTGAAGCCTCCCGGAGGTGCCAGCCGGTCTTGCAACAGATGGAAAGCAACCAGTGTGGATAAAAAACACACACTGTTACTCATCGTCTCCTGTCGTCCTGAGTCTTTTTCTCAGCAGAATGAGGTCACAGGATGTCTTTAAGTATCTCACCAGAGACGCGTGGGATTAGCTGTGTTGTTCAAAAAAAGTGTCGGTTTAACGTCGATAGTTTTGTTTTTTATGTGCAAAAGGTTTTGAGGCATCTGGCTCTGGGATTTCCTACAATATGGTTGCATGCTGTTGGCTTGTTCTTCCACTGCCAACATTTCTGCTACATAAGTTTAAGAAAAATGACCCGATCATTGGCTTTCATGAATTACGTTCAGCGGCCCTCGGGTTAGGAGTCGCATTTACACGCGATACTGCCGCTCATCTTAGAATCTGTGAGCATGTTGAACTGTAGAAATAGATACTTATAAATATTTTATCCTCCCATTGTTTTTCATTTGCTGAGCTCTCACGGCAGCTTCCAGACCTCCCACATCCAGTAAACTGTTCATCATCTTCACGCAGAGACAGAAAAACACAAAATAGAGCGTTCCATTTCTAATGTGACAATTTCACTTTCAGTGTCAAATAGGTGAATTTTCGCTGCCGCCCTCCTTCGGTTCCCTTCGTCCCCTCTCCTCCCTCCCACACAGGACTGATGTCATGATGGTTACAGCAGTATGCTTATCTATAAATAGCACACACACACAGTTTCACTCAAGTCTCCTGGGAGCTGTGCTCATAGAGCTTCTGCAAACAGTGTGGCGGCACTTTAGAAGAGAAGCTCGGTTCATTCTGCTGCTGAGAAGAAGTTAAAAGAATATTTTCTATTCAGCGCCAAACTTCCTTTTTTACATTAAATGAAAGAAACATCTAAAGCGAGAAAGTAATGAAATGAATCTTTTGATCCCACTGGGGAAGGTTGAAAGGTGTTTCAAATGAATTTTGTCTGTAGGAGACATCTTTTCATTCAACACAAAAAAATTTTTTTTTCCAACAACCTCCCAAAACTTTATAAATGTATAAACCAATATTAAAAATGTAAGATGTTCTATTTGACGTCAACCTTGAAGAGCTTCGACTAAAAGGTTTTTCTCCTCGAGAAATGAAAAGCTGCGTTTCATACAAGGCTCATTTAGTTTAATGAAATAAGTTTTCTCTTTGAAAGGTGGTGCAGTTTGAAAGCATAGTGCCCCCTATCATCACTATTCTTATAAAGATGAAGCAGGAGGGGCCGAGCAAGACATTGTCTGTGTCAGTCAGAGGACGTTCATGGCTTTTAAATGTCCACTAATGCTTTCATCATAACCACAGTAAGGCAAACGTTATGCATCACTTATTTCAGTTACCTTGAAAGTGTGCTCCGTCGATTTAGTCTCTTTTTAAATCGATACAGCAAAATGCCGCGTTTTTTTTCCATGTCAAAACCTGGCGCCTATATTACCCACAATGCAACTCAACTTCACGTCCCCAGATTTCAATCTTCAGCACCAGCGATTCGGACTCAAGTGACATCACTTGAGACCATTCATCAGGCTTGTGCAGAAGAACAACCCAAAACCTGTGAACACACTCTTGATGTGCCAGATCGGTGGAGTTCCTCTTCCACGATACATCACCTCTTCTGGATTACTCAGCAGTCAATGCTCTATTTTGCCTGCTAAAACGTGATTGGTCGATACTGCTCGGACTACAAACGGAAAACAGAACCATTTCGATACCAAATTATCTCGTCCCATTGCCCACAGGTTCTACGTTCATATTCTGATGTCTGTTTTTAGAGATTAAACTAATAGAAACAACATTGAAATGCTCTGTAAATTCACTGTACATTGATTGTTACAGTATATTCCTTTTCTCTATTACCTTCTACCGTTGTATTATTCTAGGATCCAGACGATGCTATGAACCATGCAAATGCTGTAATCAAACTTCTTACTGCGAGGATACCCTCCCTGATATTTTTTATAGCACATTCAAATTAAAAAACCATAACTCTTAACTCACTGTGGATGTTTTATTTTTATCTCAACACAAATCACAGTGGCCAGGATGACATTTTGTGATTGGGTTTTATGACAAAATCAGGGAGTGTATCTTTTAATTTGGGTTTACGAGAACCATGTGTGCAAATGCAGTTATGCTGAAGAGCCATTTTTACTCCCTGTGCTGTAAGATGAAGGTGAATCAGCCAAAATATAAATGGTGATTTCATATAAAATGTTAACTCCTCCCGACGCTGAAAGATAAAAGCAGTGTTTTGGTTTCAGCTGCCTTTTTTGTTATTTGGCAGAAGATGCATGAGAACTGTTTCCAAAAGGTTACGTTACCATAACAAGCAAATAAATCAACCCTGATAAATGTATCTCTCTCTCTCTCTCTCTCTCTCTCTCTCTCTCTCTCTCTCTCTCTCAGGTGTTCACCCAGTCGTTGTGAGCACGGCGGCCGCTGCAGTCAGTCCTGGACCGTCTTCCACTGTAACTGCTCTGAGAGCGGCTACAGCGGAGCGACCTGCCACAGCTGTAAGTCACCCGTCGGCCCAACATGAGCACATGACCACCAATCTGTATGAAGAGAGACGCATAGACAGGGAGCAGGGTGACTCAGGACTGATGGCATAAAAAAAGAATAAGAATGAGGCAGTGTGTCGAACAGAATAATGATGATTTTCTTGCCTCCTGCATAATTTAAAATGAGAGGCAGAACAAACAGAGAAAGAAATACAATTAGATGAAACATACTGTGGTACAAAGCCATTCAAACATTAACCCAATAAACAAAAATGATACGTTTTCATTCGTTTGGCACACTTAAAAAGGCAGCTGCTTCATACATAATGCAAGAAAAACTAATCACAGAAAGCTAGAAGCTAACGATGCTAACAGCGCTAGCTCCGCAAACAACAGCAACAGTGCTGAAAGAGCTGACAGTTTTACCTCCCGTGAGTTGTATTTGATATCTGCACACCTCTTCCTTCCAGTGGTTATAGTATCATAAAGCCTGTTTGCATGTGAGAGATATGACGAAGGTCAATGAGACTGTAGCTGTGACTAAACTGCCAAATGCTGAATGAATAAATGAAACCACCGGCGGTGAGGTGCCGATTCCCTCGAGTCAAATCCTTGAAACCAAAAGAGGAGCGTTTCCCAAACGCTTCGCCCCTGGTCTCATTTTTATTGCTGGTGTTTTCTGTGGAAACCTTTTTCTAACCACACTGAGGGAATGTGATGAATAAAAGGCCTTTGGCTGTCGAGCAGAAGAGAGAGAAACAGGTGAGCAGAGTGTGGGAACCTTGAGATATGGATTTGACTGGAAGGCCTTGATTCTTTGATTGCAGAGGATGACCTGGTGTGTGTGTGTGTGTGTGTGTGTGTGTGTGTGTGTGTGTGTGTGTGATAGGCAGAGAGAGGAGAGAGGAAGACTCATGGACACAGAGAGGAAGAGGCAGGGCTGCTGAAGGTCTAAAGCTTTATTTATCGAGTCTCTGTACTCCCATCAGTCATGTCCTCTCCAGTTGGATTAATCTTTACTTTACGGGACGCCGGCTGCAGAAATAAAACTGAAGATGATTGTCTTCACTCTGGTTATGAGACAGTGATTCAATGGCGGCAGTCCCCACAATCCTCCACAGTGTGTAGTCCTCCTCTCCTCACAGCTCCTGTGTGCGTCTGCCAGCCGACGTGTTGATGTGATTCATGTTGAGCTGATCTCATTATCTTCCTCCCAGCTGTGTATGAACAGTCCTGCGAGGCGTACAAACACAGCGGCAACACGTCCGGACATTTTTATATCGACGTGGACGGCAGCGGACCAATCAGACCGCAGCTGGTCTACTGCAACATGACAGGTGACACACACACACACACACACACACACACACTTTCACTCCCCCTCTTCCTCGTATCATCACTCAACGTTTTATTATGATTAAAATTTACATAATTGTAAATGATGATGCTCCTCTCATCACGCTCTGATCCACTTCATCTTCCTTCCCCCTTTATCTTCGGTCATGTCTTTTGTTTAATCATATGAATATGAATAATTAAGTCTCTCTGCTTCATATCATTTGTGTACGTATATAAATCTTAATAGTGATGATGTTCTTTTATTCTCCCACTCCCTGTTTTTTGTTTTCTCTCTGTATCTGTCACTTTTTCATAAATTTAACTTCAAAGATGTGTGATTTAGTTCATCTTAATTCAGACAGGGTGAGTTGTCAGGGTATACAGTTTATCCTTAATACATGCCTGTTAGACTGAGAAATAAAGAAGAGCAGACGTTCATAAATATGTCACAATAAGCAAGATAGTGTAACACTCAAAGCAGTTCACAGGTAAATTAATTGCTTGAGGTATAAGTCTTTTGATTTTTAGATGTCATTGACGACTATAACAGCAGAAGGAGTTTTTCCCAGATTGGTAGGAAAATATTGATACCACTGTCATGCCTGTTTTCTAAATATAGAGCTAGAGGCGATTAGCTTAGCTTAGCATAAAGAAAAGTAGGTAAACAGCTGAACTGGCTCTCGAAAATAGACATAAATGAAGTTTAAAAACACAGCTACCAAGCAACTTTAAAACTCACTAACAAACAGGTAATATATCAATAATTTAATCCATACTCCATATATGGTTATATATATATATATATATATATATCCCTAACTTTTGGTAAGACGGATAATAAGCCTACATCCCCAAATATAGATTATCTCTCTTTGCATGAATGGGTAATGATGTTGCAAAGGCAAGTCTATGATACCACATATATGACAAACAAGAAAGAATAATTTACAAATCAATCAATAACAGTAATGTATCAGTAATAAGAGACAAACATATCTATCTATCTATCCCCCACCAGAGGAGAACACGTGGATGGTGATCCAGCACAACAACACAGAGCTGACCAGAGTCCGACCGTCTCCAGGTGTAGACCAGCACTCGGTTCACTTTGACTACTCCACAGAAGAGGAGCAGCTATTGGCAGTCATCAGCCAATCGGAGCACTGCGAACAGGAGCTGTCCTACCACTGCAGGAAGTCCCGCCTCCTCAACACTCCAGGTAAAGCCTCATCAGGAAAGTTGCTGGATGTTTCCTCATGTTGTTTTCTTTATAGGGTACAGCTCGTCTCATGCTGTCAGATATAGAGTTGCTCACCTGGAACAGCTGCCCAGCCAAGTATTTACTCTCTTAACTTAGAAGGAATACTTTGACATTTTGGGAAACAGGCTTACAGAGCTCGATGTGAAGATTGATACGACTCTGGTGTCTGAACCAGGCTACAGTTTGGAAACAGAGGGAAGCAGCTCGCCTGGCTCTGACGGAAGGTCTCAGAATCTGCTGACCAGAACCTCCAAAGCTCACGTATTAACACATCATATGATGTTTGTTTAATCCGCACAAACACAGCAGTGTAAAAATTACAATTTGCTGTTTTACAGGGATTATGTGCCAGACTATTATTTTACATCTATTTCTTGGCTGGAACCAGTACATTCCTGGAGTTTCTTTCTACTCAGAAGCCAGAAATAGTCTGGCACATAATCCTCCATTGAAATTGCAAATTGGTGTTTCTACACTTTGAATAAATAAGTGTTGATTGAACATGTTAATTAGTGAGCTTTAGAGGTGCAGATTTTGTTAATATTGTACAGAGCCAGGCTAACTGTTCCTCCTGTTTCTAGTCTGTGTGCTAAGCTAAGCTAACCAGCTGCTAGGTACACATTGAATAGGCAGATAGACATACTGTGCTGTTTTATTCATATTTTGACTAATTTTGTTATTGCCTCTCTGGAAATGACAGAATGCAGAGCATTCATAAGTCAGCTTCTTACTTTGTCTTTCAACACATTTAATGAACTCTACTGGAGCCAACATCTTATTAAAGTCTGTGTTTGTGATTATACTTAGAAAGTAGATCTCACTTTATTATCTAAACTTAATCTTTTAATCCTTTAATCTTATTTCAGGGAGAGCCCTCTAGGGCTTTGGTTCCTCCCTGTTCCCTCAATACCCCTCAAGTGCAAATCAGAAAAGACTGTAAACAAGAGCTTGTTCTTAAATGTCTAGTTGGGTTAAATAAAAGATAATGAAAGCTTTGTTAAGCAGGCTCTCTTCTGCTGGGGACTCTCTCTCTCCACCAGAGCAAAATCCTTACGCTCTTTATTTCAAACCAGATGTGGTTTCAGGGATTTTCTTCTCTTTCACTAATGAGTCGGACAAATGGATTTTTCAGGATTTGTTTAATACCTCCTCCTTTTGAGAAATGAGTATTGAGTCAGATCAGCGTTTTTCTTGTGCTGGTATTGACTCAGAGGTGGTGAGCGTTAGAACAAGAGGGTGAATCACTTCGATCACCAAGTACCATTGAATTGTTCTTGGTAACGCAGCAGCTAACACTTTCCTGTCAAGAATAATACAAGAAAAAGCATCATTAAGTGTAAAGAAACACAGCTAGATACACCAGGGACGTGTGTCCATGTGAGCAGTGTGACTCTATAGGTTTGTCGTTCACCACCATGATCCAGACTGATCTCTGAGTGTTATGACTTGAGTACAGCCGTGAAGCCTAGAGAATGAATGCTGCTGACGTTGGTGTTCTTTTAGCTTTTTCTGTAGCGCCACCATGATGTTGACATTGTGTTTAGAGATAATTATCAAATGTTAGCATGCTAATTTATAAATCTAAGGTGGTTAACATGGTATAAACATTGTAACAATTACCTCGAAGCGACGCTGTGCTGTAGATTCTCAGCGTTGTTAATTGTTCTGTGTATTTGAGTAGAAAAAGTGGTGAAACAATTAGTCAAATAATGAATCAGAAAAAATGTATCAGACGCAATTTGTCTGGTAATTCCCTGAAGGTGGATCCAGGAAGACCAAGTAAAGGTTTTAAGTCCTTTATTATGCATTCTTTAGATTGGCAGTGATCAAGTGGACATCCTCGGAGTTTCTCTCTATTGTGGAACTGCCAAGACTACATAAGACAGAAATTTGAGTGGTTAAGCAACTTTTTTTTCGGGGGGGCGGATAACAAAATGATGGATAAAAGTGGTGGAAAAAGCAGAAGTTCCATTACAAACCCCCCCTGCTGCTCTCTGTGAAAATAAAGAATTGCAGACTCAGCAGAGACCTTTCCAATCACCTTCTCTCTTTCCTCTCCACCTACGCACCCTAGAGATGCGAAATACATCTTTTCACCATATAGTATCATCGCCCTCCATCCAAAAACAATATATTCAGCATAAGGGGCAGGAGCTGGCAGACTTCCCCCAGCTTCAAACACTGGATTCATCTTGAGAGGCTGAGAGATGGGGTCTCTTTCCCGTACAGCGCTCAACTATTTCCTCACTGTGCTGTTCATCTCAGGACATAATGCGGCTCACAAAAAATTAAATGTTGCTTTAGTTTTCCTTTTTTTAACCATGTTTTTGTTAATGAGTTAATTAGCTTTGGCTCAGCTCTGTAGGAAATAATCGTCCGTCTCGTGGCGGGAATATATGATAATAACACGGTCAGTGTTGCTGTTGGAGATGATCGGAGAAGTTAAAGGTGTGTTTGCTCGTGTGTGTGTTTCAGAGGGCTCTCCGTTCAGCTGGTGGCTCGGTGGTCCCGGTCCCGGTCGTGTCCAGACTTATTGGGGCGGAGCTCAGCCGGGCAGCCAGCAGTGTGTCTGCGGCCTGCAGGGCGACTGCGTGGACCCACAGCACTACTGCAACTGTGACGCCGACCGCATAGAGTGGTACTGACCTTAATATATATATATATATAGTATATATAGACATGGTTATTATTACTGTATAAGCAAAGATGAATCATTCTTGTTTGATTGATTATTTACACTGAGTGAAAAAACTCCTTTAACCCTCTTGTTGATAACTTTGTCCTAAAGATGATAATGTATCTCCGGTACATTTTGTGACCATTGTTAGATTGGACTGCATTTTTATTTGCAGTCCCTCCGGTGACAATATATTCAACAAAACAGGACATCTTTCACCGAACCAAAACTCAGAAACATGACCTGCAAAGTAGCGATTTGACTCCTCACTCTGCAGGTGCATGATGGGCGTTATGATCGGCTCATTCCTTACATCTACCTCTCGGTTTCAAACTGTCAAACTGTTCAATGCTGACACAGTTTTTACGAACCATTCATCAGAAAACCCTCAGAGTGAAGGTACACCTCTCGCTTCCAGTCCCGGAACAATGTCTGTCCTGACATCGAGATGGACATGTAGATTATCAGAGGCCCATAGAGCTGAACATGGGTGTAAATGGACGGGAGCTGCTCACTCAGCTGTCTGTCTGGAGCGCTGCTTTGGAAAATAGCTCTCACAGAAATTGGCATGGATGGAGTGTTGAGTGTCAGGGTGGAAATGATACGACCCGGCTCACCATTGAAATGTCAGGATGGAAAATTGTCTGAGACGGCACAGGTTGTGTCCGCTTATTGAAGCCCTGTTGTGGTTTCTACCAGACAGACAAATGAGCAATATTAATGAGCATTTATGTCAAAGTTTTCGATTGAATATAAAAGTTCTTTGACTTTTTTCTTAGGTTATTTATACTAATATGAATCATCTCATTGCCTTCTCTCTGTTCCTTCCACTTATTCTGCTTCTATTTCATTTCTTGGTTCCTTTTCTTTTTGTTCATCTCTCTTTCTTCTCCTCCTCCTCCTTCTTTTTCTCCTCCTCACTTTTTATTGCGTCCCCTCTGTGTTGTGCCTTCATCTCCTCCCCTCTTCCCTTCTCTTCTTCCTTCTCCCCTTTTCATCTCTCCCTCTTGCACTTCTCTTTCATTTGCATCTTTAACTCTTCCCCTCCTTTTCCTCCTTGTCCTCTTCTACTTCTTCTACTTCCTTTTCTTCTTCCTTTCTTCCCCCTTCCTCCTTGTACTGCCTTCATTCTTATTCTCTTTTCTTGCCCAATTCCCATTTATTTTCCCCTGTTTCGCTTCTCCTACTCCTTCATCTTCCCTCCCTTCATCGCCTCCTCTTCATTGTCTTTCGTCTTCTTTTCCTCCCCCCTCCTCACTCTTTATTGCTTTCCCTCTGTCTCCCTCCTTCATCTCCTCCCCTCTTCCCTTCTCTTCTTCCTTCTCCCTTTTAATCTTTCCTCTTGCCCCTCATTTTCCTCCTTGTCCTCTTCTTCTACTACATCTTCTTACTCTACTTCCTCTTCTTCTTCCTCTCTTCCCCCATCTCCTCCCTTTTTGTTCTTTCTCTGTTCTTTCTTCCTCCTCCATCCCACTATCACCTCCTATACCTTGTGCGTCATCTTTATTTTCTCCCCCCTTTCTCTTCCTCCTCCTCCTCACTCTTTATTTCTTCCCCTCTATCTTGTCACTTCATCTCTTCCCTTCTCCTCTTCCTCCACTTTTCATCTCTTCCTCTTGTCCTCCTCCCTTTGCTTATTCATCTCTTCCCCTCCTTCTCCTCCTCCTCCTTATTGACCTTCTCTGTCATTCCGTTTCTTCCCTGTCTTTCTTCTTCTTCATCATCTCCTCAACCTTTTCCTTCTTTCTCATTCTCTTCTTCTCCAAATCCTGATTATTTCTTCCTTCTTCTTCTTTGTCTGTCACTCCCTCCGTCACCTCCTACTCTTTCTCCTTTTTGTTCTTCATCTCTGCTCTCCCTCTCCTCTTCCTACTGCTCCTCGTCCTCCCCCAGGACTGAAGACTCGGGCCTGCTCACCCATGAGGAGAGTCTCCCTGTCAGGTCTCTGGTGCTGGGTGACATCCAGAGGCCGGAGTCAGAGGCCGCCTACAGAGTGGGACCGCTCAGTTGTTATGGAGACAGTAAGTCCAGCTCTGGTTGCCTGGTTACACATGATGGAGAGATGACAGAAATAATTCACATTCAGACAGAGTTTTTTAATCCATCAGCCGATAATAACTCGTTATTCCTGAGAGACTGATTCCTCTCAGGCCTGTTTTGATATGGAAACACAATATTAGGTGTTTAGTGTGAATTCTCCCGGGTAAGAACATCTAGAAGCTAATTATCATTAGCAGAACTGTTGCTAATGAATACTTCCTTTTTAATTTTCCCACTCTCGCTTCTCATTAAATGCATTACAAGGTAGAACAAAGCAGGCTGTTTTGCTAATTATTAGTAATTACAGCCGTTCTATTTCTACCCGGGCATATGAATAAATATGTGACACGATACATCAGACAAACCACGTAACAGAAATCAGCCCCTTGTGTAAGCTCATTAACTGAACGTCATGCCTCATTTGTTTGCTGCGTGATATCCATTCAAAGATGTTGACGGTGGGCTTTCATCGTGTTTCTCAGAGAACTTCTGGAACGCTGCGTTTTTTGACAAGGAGACGTCGTACCTCCACTTCCCCACCTTCCACGGAGAGCTGAGCGCAGACATCTCCTTCCTGTTTAAAACCACGGCCTCCTCCGGTGTCTTCCTGGAAAACCTGGGCATCAAAGACTTCATCTGGATCGAACTGCGCTGTGAGTAGGAGCTGGAGGGTGAAGATGTAATCCGGATTAGAGCGATGTGTCAGTGAAACCTGGAAGTCAGAGTCTTATCTGGATCCGTGTAAAAACCCTGAGGTTACAGACTTAATCCAAACTATTCTGGAGGGAAAATATTGTTTATTTAAGGTTGAACTCAGCTGTCTTGACCTTCCTGACCTGAATTTAACTTCTGCTCAGGGAAGCTGGGAAGCCTTTCCACAAATATTTGGCATCTGGCTGCAGGGATTTGACCTCATTCAGCCACAAGAGCATTATTGAAGTCAGCCAGTGTTCAACCCAAAGGTGTTGGATTGGGTTGAGGCCCGTGCTCTGTCTTAGTTCTTCCTCACCAAACTGGCTTTGTGCACCGGGGCTGTAAACACACTATTCCTCTAAAATATCATTGTAAACTGTCGCAGTAAATCTGAAATGTCTCTCTTTAACATTTAATATTCTCAAATTGATTTTAGGAAAGAACCGTACTGTTATTTGTGAAGCGTATCTGCTTCATCAGGACTTTGTTTGCGTGCTGTGATCTCATTTGACAGAGCTGGTAACAGAAGCAAAGAACGCCATCATCTGTCCTCACACTTTGATTCAAATGCTGTTTAATTCTGATGCATTATGTATTAAGTGAGCCACTGGCCCTTCATACGGTGGCCCAGCGGGGACATTTTCACCGCTTGCTACACTAGCTTAGGATAAAGACATGATAGCTCTGACCAAAGTGAACCAAAACTCCACAAAAGTCTTAAGTGGCATAATAAAGGAGACATGAATTGCTTCTTTAAATTGGACAGAGTAAGAAATGTAAAACGCTGATTTACGTGCTGCAAAATCAGACCAAATCTGAAATGTATGCGCAGTTCTTTGCTCTTTGCTTCAGCAATGGTTTATCGTCTTTTGAGAATGAAAGCACAAAGATCAACTCTTCTTTGTTTCTCTTTAGCTTTCTGTCTTCAGAGCTCAGACAATGTTTTTATGCCTTCATGCCGATATCCCAGGAACGCCTGGACAAACCTGTACCTGGACTCAAGGATGAACTGATTATAAGTTGGTGGTCAAAGGTCACTTGAGCCACAACTGAAGAATTCACATGGATGGAGACTGCAATGTGACTTGTTGGTGGAGGCGTTAAACAGTGAGGTGGTAATCGAACTTGGTTTCAGCTCTCTGTTTTATGCAGCGTTCTAGCTTTTACCCAAAGTGAATATCATTTAGAATACAACAGCAATAACCAACAGGGTCTGTTTTACTTTATGGGTACACAACATTGTGGTGGGTAGGTGTGACACCTTTACAGCCCTCACCGGTGTGTTGTCATTTAAAATGTGGCGGAAATACCCACAAGGGTTTTCTTTATGCTCATGGTTATGCAGCCAGATATGAGATATGTGTTTATGGGCAGACATGGCGTCTGGTGTTTAGAGGATCTCGTATAGATGCCTTGAAGCAGTGATGAGAGTCACTTTGAATCATCCCAGTCCACCAGTTTACTTTGGTTTAGTTTGCAGTTTTACATGTGCTGCATTTTGCATCTTCTTAAAAATGGGATTTGAAGAGACACGCGCAGAGTCTAATACGGGGACACTGCTGCACCAACAGCCGCCGGTCCTCGGGGGAAATCATTGTCAGTGTGGTTGTTCTCTGCTCTGAATACTGCTCTGCTCTGCTTCCTCAGAGAACCATTTTTAAATGAAGTTACTGTATGACGCTGGGATATTGTTTCATCTTGTTCTGTGCTCTCGGAGTAATGCATCTTCTCCTTCCAAAATCACAAAGGACGAGACGCCTCTAGTCTCCTAAATCAACTCTTTTTTGTTGGAATGGACATGACAGGAACTTTTTTGTTCTGAGCAGACCGCTTGAAAGGAGCAACAAGAGAGCGCTGGAGGGAAACAGTTTGTTTCAGAAGTAAAAAAAAAATTTCATTAAAAATCCCCCAAAATAAAGCCTTGGAGCAGAGAATTTCTCAGCACTATGTTGTGTGGCTCGCCTCACAGGTCTAAATAAGGACGGGGAAGTTTTGACAGACGATCTAATATTGTCGTTTACTTATTATAATGTTTTTTAGCTGCCTTTTACAGAACACCATTTCGCACAAACCCTGGATGTTTTGGGGAAAAATGTCACGAGTCCTCAAAAGAAGCGAGTCCACGGGGGAGACGAGGAATCCGTCATGTCTGTAAACACAGCAGGAGAGAGAAGCAAACACTGGAGAAGTGTTCAGACAGCACAGATTAAAGCTAGTACGTTAAAGCTGACTTTAGAAGATAGCATCAGTGAATTTTATGGGAAATGGATGAAACCAAATTACGTTGACGTAAGTAGTAAGCTGTAGTTTATTCTGTGTTAACAAAGTAATTGGTGTTAAACGTTAAACGTTCACAAAGGTTTAAATTCCTCAGCTGCAAATTACTATAAATTAGCTGAATAAATAAATAAACTTTATTTCAAGAGAGAAGGTGGGAAGGTTTTTTTAGCAGTTAATACCTAAAAGTAGAATGTTGCTGAGGCAGAGTGAGGCAGGATTTTTAATAAAGTTCTTCTCATTTCAACACATGCAGATGTTGTACAGATGTCATTTGATATTGTCGTCAGTATATCCCTGTTACGTGCAGGTTTAATGCTGGTCTGCAAATCAAATCTCCTTCAGCATGATAATAAAGTTGAAGAACCTCCACAAGACCAGAATAATAAAAAGGCTCGTATGAAGCAACTGATATATCAGTCTCCATTTATCTATAGGTCTGAATCTCCAGCTGTGAGATGACTTTAAACATTTCCTCTGAAAAAAACATGTATCTCAATGTGTTGTTTACTTTGTTAATCATGCTAATAAGGTAAATAGTCTACTCGCCGGATGATCTACCCATTTAAACCATAATTATTTTTCCTTTCTGTTCATTCGCTTCTCTTCTTTTTGTTCTCCTCTTCGTCCTTTCTATAAATCACACTTTTACCTCTGACTCCCCCTTCCTGTCTCATCCGTCTCCTTTTTACTGCCCCCCCCCCCTCCATCAGCTTCCACTCAGGTGCTTTTCTCCTTCGATGTTGGTAACGGGCCGCTGGAGGTTCGCGTGGAGTCGAGCGTCCCCCTGAACGACAACCGGTGGCATCGAGTCCGAGCCGAGCGGAACGTCAAGGAGGCGTCGCTTCGTTTGGACGGACTTCCTGTCGCCACACAGGAGGCTCCTGCTGACGGACACCTCCACCTGCAGCTCAACAGCCAGCTGTTCATAGGTGAGGATGAGAACGATGTGAACAGCTCCCTCATTAGCAGCAGCACTGGTGACCTTGACGTCTCTTATTCTAATACCTCTCCCACACACACACACACAGTCTTTGATGTAAATGCACAATATACACTCCAGTATATCTTCTCACACATTATCTTCTATTTTCCCTGGTTTATTATGTGATTTTCTGTGTCCAGTTGTGACAGATTTTCCTCTTTCCTTCTGCAAACTGCCCTTTGTTTTCTGTGTTTGTGATTGATGCGCCAGCAGAGAGCAGCGTTCTGTGCATAACAATGAAGTCATGTTAATTTGAATACCAATTAGCGGAATGTGTCAGCTCTGATAGAGCTCTGACTGTTACTGTTGTCATTATGAGTTTTGCAACAACTACTTTGTGTGCACAGCGTAATTGCAGGCAAAGGATATAGACTATGAGGATTTTTTTACTTAATTACCTGTGCAGGTGCTGCTGCTTTTGCTTTCCAGAGGAGAAAAGGTCCAACTCCTTTGAATATCACAGCTGTTTCAAACATGCTAAGCCACCAAGCGGTGCTAAATATGGAAGATGGCAATCTGACACATTCATCCTCCCCCTCTACAGCTAAACCTATCAGGGAGCTAACCTTTAGGAATCGGTATCAGGTAGCACAGGGTGTTGAGCCTCAAAAAAACGCCCAAAATATTCCCTCTTCTTTGGCTGATCTGTTGTCAGCTAAATCCTGTTGTTTGATCGGCAGCATTGGATGTAATAGGTGCTGAGTCTGCGCTTCCACTACCCCTTCATCCACAGTCGTACAGTGTAAAGAAATATGATGTTTCAAAGTGCTTAACTGCTATCGACTAAATGTCGGCAGCTGCTCAGCACTATCGGATAGGAAAGTGCTGAGTCGATGGTTTCTGACCACGAATATTAATCATGTCTGATAAACAAAGCATGCATCAGGGAGCAGTAACATATAGAGTTGTGTGTACATTGAGGGTCTTTAAATAATCTGTAAATGAAGCTGAACCTGTGAATGATTGTTCTGTCATGTAATTAATCAGCGAGCTGAGAATCTCCAACACAAACTCCATCAATACTGCAGCCCGGTTCATCTCAACTCCATCGGTTATGAATTCTGCATGTGACCTCTCACCAGAGCTACAGCGGGGGAAACTATGAAAATACATTTATTATCAGGTCTTTTCATTCTGCAAATATTATGTACGTCAGTTCATATCAGTAAACACACAGTGTGTGGGGAAAACAAACCAACAAACAGTGGTGAGATTGGATGAAGGCAGCGGGGAAATCTAGGTGAATATCAGCCTGAATATTTTTTTACCTCTGAACTATCAGTACAGTAGACTGAAGTAAGTCTCATATGAGTTGGGATGAAAATGCTAATATTTATCCCCAGATTGGTTTTGTAATAGATGGACGGAGCAGCATTGAGGTCGAGCTGTTTGGGTTTGATCCAAGTAGCTGCTAATGTGTCCTTCAGCAGCACGATGCTCTGTTATAGTACTGTGTGAGGGGCCATGAACACACCAACAACAACCCTGTTTCTGCTTGAATCGCTTGTACTTTAATAACAGATTAGGCCTCTTATGAATATTTACATAATGCAGATCCTTAACTCAGTAAGTAATCACTAACAGCGGCAATCCCACACTTTTTGACAGCACTTTATCAAACATAAAAGTTCTTATTATACAAAACATGATTTACCCATCAGCCAATGCTGTACTTCATGTTTTGTGCTAATTTGCAAACTCTGACACACTAAACTAAAGACGGTGAACATGCTGAACGTTAGCTTCGTAATATCAACACGTTGGCATCGGCGTTGTGAGCATGTTAGCGTGCTGAGGTTAGCATTTCTCTCAAAGCACCACAGAGCATGAAGCACGGAAGGAATACAATCTTGATGTGATTTCATCTTGCTTTACGGGGCCTGTTGTGTGACCGTTGGCTCTGCTGCATTGCTGTGCACATGTTCATTCATGAGCACACAAGTATTGACTTATTTGGATTCACATGCCTCAGCATTCGCTCGCTTAAACTCATGAACCATTACCACACGCGTTGTATTTATGAGTCTCGATTTGTAAAGCAAACTGTTCCATTGTTTGAATTATAGGCCGCTGTGTTGGTTTGTATAAACGCATGAGCCGTATCTCAGTGTACACACTGTATTCATGAGCCATAATCCTGCCATGCTTTATACGGCACGGAGTCCCATTGTTTTGATTAATATGCAGTGTTATTGCCTGGCTTGTATTTCTAATCCACACCATTGTTCATTTTCCAATTCCTTTATTGCTGCTTGCATTGTAGGTGCTAAAAACCCATACGCAGCGGTTTTGAGTGAGCTTGAGCAATGCATGCAGAAAAAACTCCCTTTGTGAAGGTTTAGAAGCAATTATTTCTGCCTTGTTTGGAGAGTTAAGCCTCTGTATATTTGTGTCGCATTGCTGTCCGTCTGTTTACTCCTCTCTGCCGCTGTGTGCAGGCGAAGAGTCCTCACGTACGAGGAGTTTGAGGATTCCTTAGATCTTCGCTTCGCATTTCCCTCGAAGCGCAGCAGTATTGACGTGAGATCCTCCTGTAGCACTGTATACGATGTAAGCTGTATGACATTGAAGGTTAGCAGCTCATCTGTGTTGACTGCAGTTCTTTTGTTTCTCCTCTAGTCCTCTTTGCAGTGGCACAAAACACAGTATGTTATTATTGTCATGATTTTTTAGCATTCAGGCCAGATTTTCTAACTTGTATCAAGTCTAATTTTTATATTATGAGGATAGATAAAGTCACATCGTGCCTGAATCATAGTTAACCTGCATTGCAGACCTGACAACACATTGGGAGTGTTCCTGTCTGACTTTATCTAACGGTGTGTGAACAGATGGAGCATGGAGAATAATTATGCTCAGCAATAACCACTGGGTCACGACCATATTATCAATGTAAAATCGATCTGTGGTGCAAAAAATAGTAGTAGAGTAGATACAATGTTTTTTTTTTGCAGGCATCTTTCCTTTGATGTTTCTTTTGATTTCAACTTAAAAAATCCTTCATTTCACAGTAGACATCTGTGTTATTGATACTGCTTGATGCACAGCACACTCTACTGTCCACACACTGTCGTGGATTATTTGTCTGATCTCTATCTCACGCGCTTCACTTCTCGGATCGTTTCAGATCTTTTATCTGCAGAATTTCACGACTTCATGCCGAGACTTTTAATTCTCTTCTCCGAGCTGCGGCTGTTCTGTCGGACATGTGGTCGAGTCTCTCACAGCTCCTGGAGTTTTGGATTCAGTCTCTCCACGTGTTGCTTTTCATGCGTGATGTTGAGGCTTGCACATGCATCACCTTTGATGAATACTTTGATGCTAATTGTTTCCCACTCCCATGTGTTCTCATGGGCTTCAGTACAAAGTGTGCAGAACTCATGTTGAGACACTAGAGGCTGTGCCGTTTGATATGAAGTCTTGAAGGTCTTACTGATAACTTTTTCTGTGTGGATTCTTTGATGTTATCTTTGATCTGCACGTTGTTGCACTCTTTTAAGTGTTTCCTGTAAGCAGTTGTCTCCATTTAATGTGCAGAGCGTGTAATCCATGTCGTAGCTGAAGAAACAGCAGGAAGTGTGGTTAAAATCCTCACCACTCTGATAGCCTCCCTGTTTCCCGCTGAGTTTACTCTCTAATAACCTTTCCTTTGCTCTGCGTTGTTGCTTTGATCAGAGGTGGTCCTCGGGGATCTGTCTCTGTTTCCTGGATCACAACTTTTACACACGTTATGCCATGTTAACCTTTCTAGGAAAGCGAACGGTTTCTTCTGTTCTTACTACAGAGTTGCAAAGTCTTTCCGGTTGAATCATCAGGACAAAGCACAACGTATCTAGATATCTAATATAGAGAACTGTAACATCAAACCACGTGACTTAAAGTGATCTTGTATTTGCTGCTAATTTATCAGATAGGACACTTTGAAGTGGGAATTTATAGTGGTGAAAAATACAGAAGATGGTGTAATGTAGAAATAAGGTATTGACTCTCTGAATCAGTGTCTTTAAACCTTGAGAAGATACCTGTGTGACGTATGTTTTTGAAACTTAGAAGATGAAGAGCTCTCGTGTTTTCTAACGTTTGTTACTGTGCACAGTTATTTAAGGGTCAGAGATTGAAATACACCCCTCCAGAGTGACTGTTAACAGTGTGAATAACCTGGGTATCTTGTGTTTTTGTTCTCACTACCATCACAAAGGAGAATTAGGACTTTCACAAGCTTTTGAGGTGCGGCCATCCTTTTCCAAAATCTCAGCTCTGGCTCTTGTTCAGCAAGGAGTTCTTGGCAAAGCTGCACATGTGCAATGAAAGGAGTAGTGAATGTTGACATGGACATCAGTAATCTTATGTAAATGGAAGCACTATCGAGTAAGGTCATGTTATTAGAGAGTGCATGTGAGAGCAGTCAGTGTGCCATGAATGAATATTTTAATATTTCCAATTCAAAGAAGGACAGTTTATGATTTTTCTGTTCTAGTCATTAACGGTGTCCTGCATCTTAATACCCAAATGTTGAACAATGATTTTCAGGATAATAAGGATAAAAAATGACTCTCCATTGTGTGTTGTCAGAGTAAATGTTGAGGCAAGTTTCATATCCTGTGTTTTTTTTTTGCCGGTTCAATATTTCACACGAGTCAACTCAGAGCAGAGGGAGGAGGCCTGGAGCGGAGAGTCTAACGGAGCTCGGTGATTTATTGGTGTGAAAAGCTGCTGCTGCCGCTGAACAATAGGGAGTTGTCGGCTTCAAACTCAGAGAGCAAAGAGCTGCCAAGTTTGTGCTCTGAACACAATAAGAGTTTCAATCTGTGATCTTCGCAGAAATGGGAGGTTGTCATGAGTGAAGTGTGCGAACAATAGGCGATCGTTCGTGTTACATATCAGGGAGAATGCTCAGTCTTTTGTAGCTGAAGTATTGAACAATACAGTGAGCATGTTGCATGTCCTGTTACTCGACAGGCAAGCAGCCTCTTATGCAGCGAGCAGCCGGCATGGCATCAGGCAGACGGACAGCTGATGAAACTTACGTCCCCGATTCAGTTTTTACCACCTGCAGCTCGTTGCCGTTTCATCTTTTGTGTCATTTTATAAGAAGAGTCTTGACGGTTTGGAGCTTCTGGGGGAGCAGTGGCGACGTGTGGGTTCGCTCTAGAAGACAGGAGGAAAAGAAATACACACAGAAATGAGAGAAGGGCTGGGACAAGGAGTGCACCGGTGTGTTAAAGTAGATCCGTGGTGAACGACAGGAAGATTTGTCACCTCTTTGGTCCGGGAGCTCTGGCTTTGGCTCATTAGTTAAATGTCTAAAATGCAATGCTAACGTCATGCACCGTGTTGATGTGTTTTCAGGAGGCACAGCGTCCAGGCAGAAGGGCTTTCGGGGTTGTATTCGCTCCCTGCAGCTGAACGGCGTCACCCTGGACCTGGAGGAGAGAGCGAAGATCACCCCGGGGGTTCGAGCCGGCTGCCCGGGTCACTGCAGCAGCTACGGCTCGCTCTGCCAGAACCAGGGCCGCTGTGTGGAGGGAGCCAACGGCTTCCACTGTGACTGCAGCCTGTCAGCATACACTGGAGTCTTCTGCCATACAGGTACATGCACAGACACACATAAGTAGAGTTTTCCTGTGGCTGGTGAAGTTAGTGCCTCTACCAGTTGGCTCATAATCATTTTGTAGGTAATTAAAGCAGCATTAAAGCAGTTTTTTTTTGCCACTTGAAGGCAGAAGAAATCCATAACACGCTAACAGCCCTGATTAATGTGAGTCCAGTATTCATCCTTCTTTTAGCCTTGTTTTTGTCTCAACCAACTGTCTCTTTGGCTGACAGATGCTTGACTTTCTTCACCAGCTGTAGTCGCTGCTTTGCCTGGTGTTATGTCATTAGACTGACGGCCAATTATTCCAAATTCCCAAAATGTCCCACAGCCAAAAACAAATGACCATTACTCTGAAGGCCAATTGCTCTGAAATCATTATTATTATTATCAATGGAGGGCTCTGGTGTGGTCTCAGGAGCGTCCACCTGTCTCTCTCTCTCTCTAACACTAGAAAGCAAACAGAAAATAAATAAGCTATCAGTAACATAGAGAACAAAAAGGTCATTATGTGCTACGATCAGGAAATGTCTGGGTTGATGAGGGGTGGGTGATACAGGTCCACAGGCAGGGAGCAGTGTGCACACTGCCTCTAATCTACAGGCACGTTCTTGAGAAGAAATTGATGACTAGACAAGAACTCTGGCTCCATGTGGCTTGCAAGCTTTTTATAAGTCTTGCTCCTTGGTTGCTCGTTGCACAACTGAGAAAGTAAAACTAAATATCTTTATTCCGACATTGGAAATTTGTCTACGACAGTAAAATCGCTTGTCCAGCAGACACAGAGAGGAAGCCTATTAAGGGCAAAACCCTGCAGATTCAGCACCATGGACAGAGCAATCACAACAGTTCTCCACTTGAATGTGCTGCGCAAGTCTAGTTAAGATTGAGTAAATTAAGTCTTATTGTGAGTGATTACGTAGCAGTCCATGCGGCTGTGGTATTGCGACGGTAGTGAGGACTTTAACCCCTAAAAAGAACAAGCTACTCATGTCTTCATGGACACACATGAGCGATTGTTTGTGAGAACGGAGCTCCATGGAGCAGCCGAGAGGTGTAGCCTAGTTGATTACCACACAGCAGTTTTAACAGCCATATGGATGCTTCCAATCGGAGGAAGAATGGTAAGAAGCATTAGGAGGCAGGTCTGACTGATTGCAGGCCGTGAATCTCTCTAACTATAGGTGGAGTGTGTGTAAGAGTGTGTATTTCTGAAGCAACGAGCTTTTGTTTGTGAGATAGCGGGCTGTCGGACAAATTGGCTTTCGGCCCAACGGGGCATTTTTTCGGACTTTGTTTTTTTTTTTCGAAGTAATAATCCATCTTTGGGTGTCTGCCATTTAATGCTGGGAAGTTACAGTTGGAACAGCAAATGTGCCGTAAGACTAAAATAATGAGTTATGAAAGACTGAAAAGGGTGTGTGATAAGTCCCTGGATGTTTGTGAGTATTACACTTTTTGATTCATTGTGTATATATAAATATAAAATATAGTGATGAGTACATCTATTATAAATAACGTCATTATTTACAGAAGCAGTTTTGAGGGATGCAATGATGAAACTTTACAGGTGTATAGTTCAGTTTATAATGAAGATGAGTGTGGTCTGAGCTGGAAGTAGGGGGGTAGGAAGTGGGGACGTTGCCGTTGGCCCCACCACTTTAAGCCTTTGGGCCAATTTGGCGTCATGCTGGTGTGATCCCCTCTCAGGATAGTCTCCAGTTTTGGTAATGAGGGTGAATTTCAGTCGTGATACGTTTTCAGAATGTTGAAACTTCTCATAGATGTCCCGCAGCACAACCCACGTCTCCGCTATTAATTCTATTTCCAGCCTCACAAACCCACTGCTGAGTAGTTTCTTTGGTCTGAACTCTTACTGATTTGCTCCCAGGCACCAACTTGATGCTCAACATGTTCTTAAATGAAGATTGATTGAGAAGTTACAGTATGTATTTAGCATTATTTTGGCAGAGATATGCTTATGGACACATTGGCCTTATAGATGGACGGCAGAGAAGTCTCTGCAGAAGTGGTTTGAGAAGATTATTTGGACATTTTATTGATTTCATTTATCTGACCACAGCAACCGTTTCTCTGTGAAAGGCAACAAAAGAAAGGAGGCCTTCCTGAAGCTTAAAGATAGAAAACTATTTGATATTCAAACATTTTGGGTGGAGTATGTCGTCAATGCCTTGCCTCCATTCCCTCCTTCTGCTTTGTATTTGCTGTAGTTTGCTCATAATATATCTCAGTCGCCAATGTTAAAGCTGTGTTGATGTCTTGTTGTCTAAAGGTTAAATAAAAAGGTTCAGGATCTGTATTATTTCAGAGAAGTTTTCGCTGCGCTGAACGCTCGTCATAAGAATACGTAGCTACCACGTGACATCAAATGTTACCTCAAATAGAGTCCGTTTGATGTATTGGATCTAAGTTGTTTGTTTGATGTTAATTCTGTAATATTGCATCATCACATTGACCTTCATGTCGTCCATGAGTTCAATAATATAAGTGAGTTCAGTTTTACTTTTTCAAAAGGACCCTTTTGACCTTTCTCCCACCAAATATTGATATCTACTTACGTACTCGTGAGTCAGAGCACCGGTGTGTTGTTACTGTCTTTGTGAGTCACAGCTGCAGCTGTGCGGGCGGCTCCGGGTCAGTGGAGGTGAGCGGTTTATCCTTTGATCACAAGGTCGCCGGTTCAATCCTTCATGTCCGCACATCCCTGGATCCTTCACAGCAGCCCACTGCTCCTGAAATGCAGAGGTTAAATTTAATGTATGCGAGTTGTTGTTTAAGTTTTAAAAACTAATTTTGATTGATACTTTCTCGAAGTCTGAAGTCTCGACAATTATGACGACTGTTTTCTTTTCAACGCTCTACAGATATTTTGAGAAGATCTTTTATTTTTTTCTTGCTAACTAATTAGACATGCAGAGCCGCTCCGACGCTTCCCTTGGAAGTTAATTAAAGTCAAGTATTTCCGTACAGATAGTCTAAATATATGTTTTTTTTTGTACTGTGCCCTTTAAATTGAAGGTTTCAAAGTAGAGTTTAGTTAATGTGGTATTAAAAACCTAACGAGGGTGTCACTTGACATTGTCCAATACTGAATAAGACACTTAAACAGTTAAGTAACAGTTATTATCTAATCATTTTGATAGTCGAATAATTGATGATGTGGTTTAACACAAAATATAATGTGATAAATAATAAATTAGCTGGTTCTCAAATGTGAGAATATGTTCAGCTGTTTCTTGAACTAGGGACTAAAGCAGCATTACAGCTAATGTGTTTTATTGGTTACCATTTTAATGAATATGCAATGTGTCAAATAAACCATGAAGCCCCGGTGAAGGCTGGACCATCCGTATGCAAGCAGCATGGACATACACAGCATTTTGAAACTGCTACTACAGTCTGTATTAAAAGGTATAAGTGTTTGATTTGAGTGCTAGTGTGACTCCTACATCCAGGGCCCCAGTGGCCTAAAGGATAAGGCACTGGCCTCCTAAGCCTGGGATTGTGGGTTCAAGTCCCATCTGGGGTGGAAGTAGTTATCTTTATAAGTTTGATTGTCCCAGCAGTAATGTGTATTTCAACAATCATTGCTTTGTACAATAGTAACACTTCAGATATATTCTTTCTCCAGAGGTGTCGGCCAGCTTCCTGCCGGGGACGACCGTCAGCTACACCTTCAAGGAGCCGTACGAGTTGAGCCGGAACAGCAGCGCCCTGCCGTCCTCTATCTACTCCGACATGACGCTGAGAGGAGAGAACGTCTCCCTGAGCTTCAGGACCAACCAGAGTCCGGCTCTGCTGCTCTACGTCAGCTCGTACTACAGAGAGTCCCTGGCTCTGCTCATCAGCAAGCACGGTGACGAGGCTTTTATTTTGAAGGAATTTGTTTGCGTGGCAGATGTTTACTCTTCAGGTGGAGTGTCTTGTTTCGTTCTCCTTGTTAGGTTTCATCTATTTCAATTATTTTTAACGGGATTATTCAAACTTGAGGATGAGACATTTTGTAATGAAGCTTCCTCTTCTCCTCTTTATCGACCAGCTTCTTGCTCCTTTATCATCAATACAACGTTCCTCTAGTTACTCCCCTTTGCTTTGTCTCATTTCCTCCTTATTTGTTCTCTCTTGTTTTCATCCACCTTTTTCAAACCTCAGAGATTACAAGTCTCTTCACCTCTCTTCGTCTTCCTCCCTCAACCTTTTTCAATCTGTTTCCTCTGTTGGCATCTTACCTTTCCTCCCCTCTTCCTTTCACTCACGTCATTTTCTCCTGATATCGACCTCTCTTCCTATACGTCTTCCTCCCTCCCTCCTCCCCCTCATCCTCTGCTCTGCAGCTTTTAACAGATCAGGTCTGTCAGATCTTCCCTCTCCCTGGAATCCCCCCCGTCAGCCTCTACTGGCTTTTAATCCATCCAGCCGGTCTGGCTATTACATTTTGTCTCAGGCTGAAGAAGAAGAGTTCACTGGTCTTATCACTGAGACTGTGGTGCTGAATGTCCTATCTTTATTCAAGAGTGTGGTCAATTTGAGCGCATCACTTGTTTATTTCACTTTTTACATTTTGTAATGTTCTCCCTCAAAACCCTGTCCTCACACTTAAATAGACCCTGCTTGCACTTAGAGTTCTGCTCAAATTGTATGTTTGATCCCTGACTCATTGCAGGTGCGTTCACTTTACTTTTTAGAGCGTCCCTGGCGGGCGGTTACCCTTTAACCCTCTGAGGCTTTATGTACTTCCCTGGCTTTCCTTACAACTTTTGGAATAAAATGATAGTATACCAGCTCCTATACATTTTCTACGACTACTACACGGCTGCTACAAACTTTTCTATTTTGCCGTACGCTGACAAGGATGTCGCTGTCGCTATAATTTAGTCTTGTAGTTCCCTTCCAAGTGTTAACTAAACAAACTCATGTTAAAAATGCTCTAGTGTCAGGCTCAGCTAACATTAGCTTGAATCACAGTTAACTTTAGCTCTGTAGAGCTTAGCTTTGTTTTTGTGAGTGACGGTCTGGGTGCTTCGGTATATAACATTATTCTCAGTGGTATATGCGGCGGCTATCTGTGCCACAGACTGTAACACGCTTCACTAAACGGCACTACTGTTAGTTCCCCCTCTAGCACACTGACAGGAGACCGGTGCAGCTATTATAGTAAAAGTAAGGGCGACGCCCTAGTATACATATTAACTGTCCTTTCTATAACTGTATTATTTATTATGTTTCTTTACAAAAGTGGTAAAGAAATGAATATAAAGAAAGCCTTGGAGGACGGAAGTGGATGAGCCAGGTTAAAGAGAAACCGCCCATCAGAGACACTCAACGAGGCAGAGATCATTTCATCGGTCAGCACTACACCAGGCATTCTCTGGGTTGGGGAATTTCATTTTGACAGGGTTATTGCACAAAAAAGACAGAGAGCAGATAAATCCGGGAGCAGAAGTTTAGCACACAGAAGCAGTCTGAGTGTGAGGAGAAAGAGCTGGAGCTGGAGCGCAGGAAACCTCAGCCAGCAGCAGCAACACATCTGTGTGCAGGCATACAGTTTGAGCAGAAGCAGAGCAAATCCAAGCGCAAGCAGGCGCTATTTGGGTAAACACATACAGGGCTTTGAGGGAAAGCCTTAATCTCAATGTGAATTCAATAAGTCATGCTCCGAAATTGAAAAACCACGCTCTTAAATAAAGATAAGAGAAAAGCTCCATATGAAGCTGAGAGAACAATAGTTTGGTGGGCTGGTAATGGGTGGCAGGTCAGTGTGCTGCTGAATAAAACAGCAGAAAACTTGCCGATGTGTTTTATAAATTTTGGTGGGAAATAATGATGTTGTGAGTTTGGCTTTTAAGAGAAGTAGGAGGCACTTTGAATTTAAAATTACATTTTCAGCATCCAGTAGTCCAATAAAATTGGCACTTTGCTGGCAGATTAGCTGCAAATGGATTTTTCTTTTCTGGTGTTAATGACTCAGAGAAAGCTGACGGACAGCAGGGCATAAAGGTTTCATGCTGACCGTGGAGACGTCAGGTAAATGCACTTAAACTGAAGTGTCCAATTAAATCCCTGAGAGCTTTCTCTTATTTGCCTGGAGAAGGCTCATTCCTTTTCACCCTCGACTGCAATTACACCTCCTCAGCCCGAACACAACCTCGGGCATCTTTTCCAGCATTAATGTGTTATCAGAGCAGCAGCAGGTAGCTGCAGGTCCTCCTACAACAACCAATTATCCCCTCACATTCCTCTATCAGAGAGAGACTTTCATGTATGATCTGTTATCTTTAGTCACACTAATATAGTGCATGCTGTAAAATAACAATATTTTTTGTTGAATTCTGTTGTTAAATCTGCACTTTACGTTCTTAATATTAACATAATTCATTTGATTTAATTAGATTAGTTGTGGTATTGATATGGAATTAGACCTTATCCTCTTAATATAGGAATATGAATTAATAGAGAAATCGTTTCTTTAAAATGTTCAGATATATCTTTGACGGATTAAATAGGTGTTAACCTCTTAGCCAAGACTAAAGGACGAGGACATTTTCAGGAAAACAAAAAACTTCACCTTGAACCTCCGTTTTAAATGAGGATTATGTTTTAAATTAGTTTCCTTTTTTGTGAGATCTAAAACGTGACCCCATGGTGTGATGTGCGTTTGTGTGTGAAGATATGCTGGAGGTGAGATACAAGCTGGACAGCAGCCGAGATGCTGAAGTGTTGAGGAGCAGAGTGGAGAGCCTGGCCGACGGACAACTACACACCGTCACCATCAGCAGACTGACAGACTCTGTGTCTGTGCAGGTAAAACCACCTCATCTGTTCTTCAAATGTACTCGTTTTTTGCTTCGGTTTGGTCTCCTGCTGCTCAACATGTCCCACTTACTTCACCAGCTACACGCTTTCTTTTTCTGTCTGCTGTTTGGTGCTGGGCAGTGAGCATTAACGTGGGTTGTCGGAGCTAATTTGCAGGAAACAGCTGCTACAGTGTTCTGTGTGGAGTTTGGCGAGAGCCAGGAGACCCAACCTTACACTGATGGTGCTGTATGTGAGGAAACAATGAGCTTAAAGACACTTAAAATCTCTTTAAGGCCGCAGAGTTCGACGTTAATGGATAGTGGTCACAATTTCACATTATGCAGCGTCAATTCAGTTATACTATCAAAAATATTAGCTGCAGGTTTTAGGACTGGAGATGCACAAACTTTATTCATAGACTAAGGAGACATTTCTTTTCGCTGGCCTTTTTTTTGGATCAGAAATGTCTTCTGTTAGAATGAGGACGTGTCTACACAGGACAGTCTATTTCCTGAAAATATAACAGAAGGAAGGCTGTAAAATGATCACCATTACTCAACAACACAGCAGCTTCCTGTCTGTTTCTTTTACACCTTCATCAGTGTTATTTCTTACTAATGTAAATGGTTTCTCCAAATGAATGTAGGACCGCTCAACGCAGATATTGCTACCTAGCGTTAGCTAAACAAAGTGCAAATGCTAACTTAGCTCATTGATGAAAAATGAACTTGACCGTGTACGTGAATGACATCAGCTGACAGGAAGTAAACATGGACCCAAGTTGTTAACAATAGAACTCCATTGAATCGGTCTATATCTGCTTCCAGCTACATTACATGAGATGCTCTTCATATTTCACTGGAGCCTCACACACCTGTGTGCACCCATGTAAGACGAGGTCACCTTGTTTTTCTATCTCTGGGTGTTGATAATTATCCACCGAGGCTGCTGGTTAGATGGAGTTAACCTCATATATCACGAGAGAATGTTGTTATAGAGATAAGATCCAGAAGATCCAGATATGATTACAATGCTTCATATTTCACGTGGAGCTCTGTTAATGTGTTGTTTGTCCCTGCTGCCCTGCCGTCGTCGCATTCAGGGCAGTAAAGCGCTGACGGGGGCTTTCTCATATAGATGAATATCACAATACTGTATCATGGTACAAACAGGAGCAGATGGGACTGCCTCTGCGTGTGCATCTGTATGTGTGTCATTGTATTCGGGGATCGGTGCCTCGTTTGGCAAACATTGAAAAAGCTGAATCAACACGTCAGCAGCAGCTGCGTCTTTACAACACTTGCAGTACGACACAAAGTGTATGAACTTGCGCGGGCAAGTCGAAAGAAAACCGACAGCTTCTCTTTCAGTGCCTGTAGTTTTCTTTCATAAGCTGTATACAAACATTTAATACACACTGTTACCATCATACTAAATCATTATTTATTTAAAAGCATGCCCTAAAGGCATATGGTGACAGTTTAGTAAGTATTTACAACAGATAAACATAAAATTGGGTGTGTTTTGGTCCCCGAATTATAAATCCTGATGTTTGTGGAGCACAGACACATACGCTCCCCACAGGCTGAACTCTTAGTGAATGTTTTCCTGCCATCCTCAGGCTGAAGTTTCATCTTTGCATGTAAGGTTTCTACTGCCACGAGTCATCAAAGTTGCAAATTTAGGAAACAAGTGTTCTCTTTCAGATCGACCAGAGACCGAGAGAAGACTTCAACCTGACATCTGACGGAGAATTCAACGCCATCAAGTCGCTGGTGTTGGGCAGAGTGCACGGTGAGTGAGGAGGCAGTAAAAGCAGAGACGATGTCGTTTTAATAGGAGAGCGTTAGGACTTACACTTATTTGAACAGCTTTGAAGTGATACTTTGTTTTGAAGTGGCGGTTGCACGATGCACTTATCCATAGAGTTTATTACCTACAGTAGAGTGTGGAGAGGCAGACAGGAGTACCAGAACAGGAGCAAAGCTTAGACACCTAAAGGAAAGGTCCAACTACTAAATCAATATCAGTTTATGTGTATGCTATTATTCCAAATATTTTATCCGCTTTATCTTTCGGTCAGACAACCCTTTCTGATGGGGAACTGAACTGAAAAGTCAAACTTCCTCTTCTCCTCAAAGACACCAGACTCTGTTGGCACATGGGAGAAGTTTGCCGTCAGGGCTTTCTTTATTTTAACCTAAACCACGATCTTTTTCTAAACTTAACACAGTAGGGTTAAGGACTGTCTGACAGAAAGCCCTGAAGGAAAATTTCTGCACTCCATTAAAAGTATAGTAAAAGTATAGCTCTACTCCCGTGCCGGTACTCCTGTATGTTTCTCCAAACTGGGTGCGTGCTGACCGCCATCTACTGTAAGTAACACACTGACTGTGTATAAGTACCTCATTCAACCCCACTTCAAACCACCCAAACTATCCCTCATCTGACACTCACTGTAGGAATATTTAGAGAAACATACAGTACCTCCAAATGGGAATATTATGCAAGTTATCTTAAGAAGTTGGAGGCAAAATGTAAGAACTTTACCGTGAAGGTTAGCATTCTTCTATGTTTGTATTCCAATTCATAAGGTTTACAGTCTGAGCAGGACAGCTCAGGTGCTGCAGGAACTCAAGTTTAGCTGCTTCTGTTACCTGTTACTGCTACTCAAGACAGAAAAGAGATTGTTGTTGCTAATAGACCTTACACTCATTCAGTGGCTGCAGCAGACACGGCAGCACGTCGAGTATCTGTGAAGAAGGCTGTGTCCAGAATCATTCATTTAGTCCACTATTTAGTGCTGCAGACATTTTCGTTTTATAATTTGTAGCTTTTTAAACTCCATAATAACATTTTTTGTATTGAAATAAATCAGGTAATTCTTCAGTGTTCATATTTCTTAAATTGATGAAAATCAGGTAAATCTGTAAAGCAAAATATTAACGCAATCCCTTTTTATAAAACGCTTGTTTGCTCCCACATTTTTGTGCATGTTTTACTCTAATTATGCAGGTTTCAGTTTAGCTGTCAAAACAAATCTAGAAGAGCTTGATGCATAATTGATTAGTTTGATAAAACTTAAAAATAATTGATAGCCTCTCACTGCATAAATCATAATCATAAACAGAGAGAAACATGTCGTATGGAGATGTTTAGCATCAGTCTGATGAGTGCAGGGTCGAGTTAAACCAGAAGCATGTCTTCCTGTAAATCACCTGCACAGATATCGAGCCTGTAAAGGAAAACCTCCCCCTGTGGGAGAGTAAAACCACATCCACACCGTGTGTAGTCCTGGACAGGCACCTGCAACAGAGTCGGGGGGGTCAGACAGTAATTGACTCCGCCATGACTTATTCATGTTCTCTTTAAACCGGCTCCATCAGAGACGGACTGAGATATGAGCTGTTAATAACATGAGGGGCTGAGAGGCCACAGCTGTCTGTTAAGACACAGACACAACAAACTCTGTCAATTTAAAAGGAAACACGCTGGCTTCTACAAATAGCTTTCATCAGAGGCATGCGTCGAGTAACATCAAATAATGACAAGAAAAAAATTACACAAACCATCTAGAACACCCGTATCTGTTCAAATCTATTGTTGAATAATCCGAATCAAATAGTACAAAATGAATGTGTCATATCAAATATGGCCACCATCTATCTTATGGAGAAGCTAATACATTATCTCCAAGATCTTTTCTCTGTTTGGGATGTGAAGCTTTAGGATGTTGTAACTCAGCTCGGTGTGTTTTAACCCCGTCATGTCAGCATGTGACCGGTCCTCCCCTCTGGCAGATCAGGATCAGAAAAGCAGCAGGAAAGTGGATTTTCTGTTGTTTCCTGCCAACCCCGTCATCCATCAGCCTAACTAATGGACCCGGAAGGAATACAGAGAGACAGACGGGGGGGGGGGGTGATGGAGTGAAGAGTGTTCCTGCTGAGGGGAGCTTACAGGCGGCAGTAATGTTTCCTGCTGCTCTCATCAGCATACAGACGTGTCACCTCTCAGTCATCTGAACAGACACTGATGCAGCTGGTTACAGCGGTAACGTCGGCTCTCACAGCTGCTGTGAAGGAGTGGAGGTGAAAGATGAAGGGATTTAAGTCCATAAAGTAGACAGATTGGAGGTGAAAGTGTACATCTGTCTCGAGTAGTGACGGATGCAGACTGGAAGCTGAACTATTGACAGTCTGTCAGCGGCAGTGTGTGTGTGTGTGCGCTAATCATTAGAGTCAATGTGCTGCCACTATTGTCCTGCTCTGATAACAGGGGAATGTGAGGCAGAGTCAATGAGCCCGCCAGTGTATGTCTTGATTGTGTGAGCCTCTAAACGAAAGGTTAAAAGTTCATTCACTAGGATAGAATAAATACAATCTGAGTTCCGATCTCGTTCTTTAACACTCGAGGGTTCCAGTTAATTAACCTGTACTCTGAAAACCACATTGGAATAAAACAACAACTCAAAAAAGCGTGATTTAAAATTGTCTTTATTCTATTTTTAGGAGCAAAGTCTGCCCTTGGGAGGAAATATCTTCACTTGTTTTCATCAAAATGTTCCTTGTTTTAGGATAAATATAGAAACGAGTGTCTAAAATAAATGAAGCACGCGTATTAAAGATATAGTTCAACATTTTCAGACATATTTCTTGCTGAGAGTTGGACGAGAAGATCGATACTACTCTTGTCTCAGTACACTACAATCAGCACCCGTAAAACCACAAACATGTGTTTTTACACGTTTTGTGATTAAACAAATGAGATACAGCATGTTAGTGAGTGAGTTTCACACGTGCTGATTGTGCATTTTGTTTCATTTGGACAGATCTTGGCTGTTTCATGTCTTTGTGCTAAGCTAAGCTAAGCTAAACAAATAGCATCAATCTTATCATCTTCCTCTCATATATTAGGCGAATAAGCGTATTTCCCAAAAGGACAAACTATTCTTTGAAAGAAATAATTGACAGCCTCTACTGTTTCAAGACAACGATCCCTTCTCCCAGAGCAGTTTTCGATTGTCTCTTGAAACACGTGGCAGAATTGACATTTAAAAAAGGTCGTAATATCCAATTTTAGGATGATTAAATCGTATTTTACGATTTAATCATTGCCAGGAAGCATTTGTTTCACATTATTATTTCAAGTTTCAAACTCTTGTGTCTCCAGAGTCCGATGATTTGGATCCAGATCTGTCCCGGTTGGCGTCTCTCGGTTTTACCGGCTGTCTCTCGGTGGTCCACTTTAACTCCATCAGTCCTCTGAAAGCTGCTCTGTTCCACCTGCACACCAGCCCCGTCGTCGTCACTGGACCTTTAGTCCAGTCCAACTGCGGCTCCTCGGCTTCGGCCGATCCCTACGCAGCAGAGAACACACACCACCTGTCAGGTAGGAGGGGAGGAGTCGGTTTGGTTTACTGGACAAACATTTAATGTACTATTGATTGTTTTTAGGTACTGTAGTGTGGAGGGAGCTCTGGGTTTAAAAGGTTCAGGTTGTAAGGAATTTGAAACGTATCCCTTGGATTCAACTGTTGCATTGAGCTGTGAGCTAGAGGGTCCTCAACTGTGAACTTTTGCCCCAGGACTCCCCAAAGTTAATTCAGCCATAGCTGGGAAATTGGTTAATTAAAAAAAAAAAGAATGAATATTGGAAAGAATCGCTAAACCATATGCTCCCTCGAATCACCTGTGGCCGTTCACAGCAGTGCATTGTGGTTATTCAGAGGATGTTATTGTCTTCTCATTTTAGATCTCACTCTTCTTCTCTTTTCCCTAATTGCCAAATAATTGCTCACCATTTTCTTTACATCATATTGCAGTAAATGTGTAATAATAGGTCAGCTAAAAGTCTGACAAAACTAAAGTGAGTTCTTGAACTTGGCCACTGACAGTGATGTATGCATAGAAATCTGTGACTGTTCTACTTTCGTCCCGTCTTTGTTTCTGTGTGTATCTATTCTTGGTTCGGAGCTGCTGTTTCAAACTGTGTAATGGGCTCATTACGTATGTACACCTTGTTGAGGAGAATCATGACAATGTGCTTGATGAGATAATTAATTTGGAACACAGTGGGGAGTTTCCAGTGTCTTTCTTCTGCTCTCGTTTTCATCCAGCTTCATGTTGCTTCATTAGAGTCCTTTGGAGAGCTGCTGCTGTACTCCCTCTCCGCTCTGAATGAGAACGTTCTGATGTTGTCTCTGAATGTCTCTCTTTTCTCTCCCGGTGCCCTATTTCCATCCTTTTTTCTCTCTATCTTCCACCTACCTACCTTTCATTTCCTATGTCTCTTTCTCTGCTGTAGACCAGTCTGGTTCAGTGGGTTCAGGTCAACCTTTAGTCAATGCCATCCGGACTGACTCGGCTCTGATTGGAGGTACTGGAACCTGTTTCACTTCTTTTTCCCACTATGTTTGTACTGGACTTCTTCTAACTACCAGAGTCAGGGATTACGCTCAATATTTAATTGATGAGCTGTTTTCTTCTGAAAGACAGCAAAGGTGATGTGATGTGCAGAAAATTCCATCAAAAGTTAAAATGTTTTTGATCAATTTTCTCCCCTGTCAGAAAGATTCAAAGTGACGATTGATAAGCTTACATATAAAAAAGTGAGCGAGTCAAAAGTCATTGAAAAGTGTCCGTTAAACCTCTGTGACTCTGTGTCTCGGTGCACAAAGGACAGCTGAAGTAATTAAACCTCCGCTGACACGACTTGCTGATGGAGAAACTTTCACACTGTTATCTTCGAATGCAAACCAAAGCAATATGGTGCGAAATTGATTGCGGCTGTATTTTTTGAAATTGCAATTAAATGAAACTTTTCTCGGGACAATGAAATGTGCTGAACAGAAGGGTTCAGCAGAGGCTGAATATGTGAAAGTCTGTTCGCTGTGCGTTGGAAGTTCAGATTAGTGGGACAAACCGGACCGCGGGGCAAAAGAGCTCACAGGCCCGGGGGAGACGGAGATGGGCAGAAATAATCACAGCGGCTTCACAAAGCTATGTGACCAAAGTCGACTGTGATAGATGTATTCCCCAGACAGTCAGCGTGCCATTCAGCAAAACAACAAGGCTTTCCAGGATTCAGAGCCATGAACGCACATCAAGATGCCACTGCTGAGTTACAATACGGGCTCTGCTCAGTCGGTTGTCAACAGTGGTGAAAGAAGTATTTAAATAAATAATGTAAACGTAGAGATACGTATACCACAGTGTGTAAATACTCCATTACAAGTAAAAGCCCTGCATTAAAAATGTCACTTAAAACAAGAAGTGTAGCATTTTGGGGGATCTATTAGCAGAAATGGTGAATAATATTCATATGTTTTCCTCACCTGATAATAAGAATCGTTGTGTTTTTGTGTTTTAAATATTATTTGGGCTGAAGTGCATCATGTTCTAAATAGGACTAAAAACAGACATGTTTTTTCCAGGTGATTATTCATTTGTGTAAACATGTAATGTATGAAGAAGAACAGCGTCCACCTAGTGCCGACTTCACAGTCTAAACTAACAGATTTTTAGTCGATGTAAAATGTTTTGCTTTTCTCTAGTGCCTCCAGAGTTAGTGCTAAATTAAGATAAACATGCCACGGGGATACCTGATTTGTCGCAGTCTCCTGGTGACCAATGAAACAAACATATTTCCAAACATGTCTGAATATGTCAGAGTGAATGTCCTCTACCTTGCAGGTGTCATAGCAGTGGTGATCTTCGTGATTGCGACCGGCCTGGCGATAACCGGCAGATTCCTCTACCGCAGAAAAGAGACGTATAGGAACCAGGAAGTGAAGGGAGTCAAACAGGAGGACAGCCAAGATTTCCCTTTCAACAACCAGACGGACTCCCAGAACGTCTCTACTGGGAACCCAAAGGAGTATTTTATCTAGCTGGAGGCCTGCCACGCCTCAGGACTTCACGCTGCACTCAGAGCCACATTCAGAGACTTCACCGGAGAATGTGGCTCAACAGATTACAGATTATAATACACAGTTTTTTCTCTTTCTGTACATAGTGTATATATTGATACAAACAGTGCTGGACATATACGGTGTTGATATCCTTTTAAATATTCAAAAATGTAAATGTGGAAGTGAAGTTCACGGCAAACTAATGCCACTATGTCATATGGAAAGGTTGCAAATACTCTTGTGAAACAGATTTTCTTTTATGGTTTCGAGTATTCAAACACAACTTTATTTCAGTTAATCAGGGTGCCTGAAAACGTGACTGGAGTCGTTTGGCTGATTCATGTTTCTATGAGGATAATGAACGGGTGTTTGCTTGAACTGTAATTATGCCCCAAGGAAGCAAATCATTCTCAGTCCAGACTCATCAAATACCTACACCTGGTCAGTGGCCCTAAACCTCAAACTATGTCGCTCTACCAACCCCGCTAGCGTCAGTTTCCACACGTTACATGCATGATGTCTTTTACGAAATAAACCTCTCTCTAGACAGGTTTCAATAACAAATCCACTGACAGGCAAGGCAAGTTTATTTGTAGAGCACATTTCAACGACAAGGCAATTCAAAGTGCTTCACATAAAACTATTAAAAGCATCAAAACATGAGGCAAAAGAAAAGGAGATTTAAAAACAATCTCAAGCTCAAGACTCCTCAGCGACTTAGTGACTGCTCTTTATACTACGTCAGTTCCTCTGAACGTCTACTAATGACACGGGTGGGTTTACAGACGCCGAGCGACACGGACAAACCATCAGTATTTGATGAGATGGACGTGAAAACCGGGTTGCGGGAAGAGTTCTTCTATAAGATTCTGGTGTTTGGTGGTTTGTTTGCTGTCTGTTTGTAGCGTGCAGTGCTTCTGGGGAGGAACAGCATGTACGCTTTAGAGGCTGCAGTTTAAGGGAAAATGTGCAAGCAATTGTCAGAGTCCTTGCAGCCCGCAAACATCCACCAGGACATTGTTGACAGTCAGCACATGAATTAAACATTTTTCTCCAGCGTGCTCCCACAGAATTTTGGTCAACATAGTCTCACTCCAATCATCGTCCATGAGCACATTTCTTCTGTTCGGCGCACTGCAGTCTTGCAGCTACTGGTCGAGACTCTGAGACTTTTTATACAGAAGGGATTCATTTTCCACTTTATTTTTTACTCCTCTCTTTCTCTCATACTTATTTATTCATTTGTTTCCGTTGTAACATGAAAGAACAACAAAAAGCAGAGAACAGAAATACATCTGTGAGCACCGAACGCTTCTAGTTTCCTATAGTTTGCAAGCTAAAGTAAAAAAAGACTTTTCTCCTCCCTGCTGTATGCAGCCTGCTGGGAGCTTCCTCTCCAGCGCTCTGAATGTCTCTGGAGAGTAAAGCTTTTAACGCCGACAGCAGCGCCGACTCTACAACACTGTGGCTGTCTGTCACCTCGTGCACTGCAGGCAGAGACAGCTGATGTGTTTTTGAAATGCTAATCTGCTTCGGTCTGACAGGTGGATTGTGACTCGATGGAAAGCAGAGAGATGATCAGAGTGAGACTGATACCAACACTTGAAAATGAAGCAAATCCCCCCCATGTGTTAATTCAACCCATGTGTAAAGAGCGCTGCAGATCGAGGGAGGATGAAAGCAGAAAGAGCATCGACAGCAGCTGTTTCTCAAACACACACACCACCGACTCGCTCCGACACCCCAAAGCGCAGATGGGATTTTAATGACAAAAGTTGCTAAAAGCTTCAAAGTGCATTATGCATCCCTTCTCTTTGTGTTTTCTTTTGTTCCCGTGAGTCACAACAGCCGAGGCCGCACGTTGTTGTCTTTGCAGCATCCTCGATAGTCCGTTTCTCAGTGAAGCAGCAGCAGCAGAGCTGACCGCAGAGAGGAACTCAACAGGTAACCTTGACCGCCAGATAAACTTGAGGACTGAGTGCAGCTGGAGGACACTACCAAAATAAAATGTTTATCAAGATCCAGAGAGGAACATTGATTTTTTTTTTGACGGCATCCGCTGAGAACATTAGCAGCAAGTCACGGACGTTTGCAGTGATGTGTGCAAACAAGCGAGGGAGACTGTTTGAACTTCAGCCTCAGTTTAGTGTCGTTGTGAACAACTGTTTTGTTTTCAAACCATTTTCAGGAATATCACAACAGTTTTGCATTCGCTCCTGTTTTCTGAACAATCTCACATTTAAAAGATAAAATTCTGGTCACACCGGAAAGAAACACAACTTAATGCGTCCACATGTCTTCATGAAATGTTTGGTTATTTGGCTATTTTTTCTGTCAAAGCTACCAAGCTACCCGCAAACTTACGGGTCAAAGTTAAAAATTCTCACGGATTTACTTCGCCCGTGTGAACGAATCCACCACCCCTGGTGATTTTGAGTGGGATGAATTAATGTCACAATGTATTTTTTTACGTTTTTTTTACGTTTTAAATGCTGATGCGACCGGGCCATAAGGCTGGTGATATGCTGCAATTTCCTTATTGTCAATAGATTCAAAGAAAATACTGAATTATATAACTAATTGTCCCTACTAACAAGTATTGTCTGCGTGGGCAATGCTTGACATATGTGGCCTGTTCCTCTGTGCCATAGAGTTCCATTATTCTGCACTATTATTATTGAGCACTGCCACACCGCTGCACTGTGTGACATCCATTAGCATGAACATGCTGGGGTTTATTTTGAGTCTGTCCCACATACGCCACGCTGCTGCCGTAAATACTCTCTAGAGAGCAAAATGTGCACTAATCCGCTGCTGAAAATAGTCCCCAACATGTTCACTCCTGTTTGAGTAATGTTTGCTAAAAACAAAACAAAAGTGACACTATATTTTGTGACCTTCTTTTATATCTAATATTTACGTGTTAAGTAGGGACCAATGTGTTTGAGACCGAGGCCACAGACTGGTTTGAGATGTCAGCTACAGACGAACACGTTGTTAAATTTGGTCTTTTTGTGAGATTTGTTGACAGCAAGGTAAAAGAAACAACAGAATAACATCAGCCTTTTCCTTTAAGGAGTGATTTCTTTTGAGTGTACTTCCTCTCTGGTTGAAGTTTGTTCAGTGTAACTGTAGTGTTGGTGAATAACAGTGATGTTGTGACATAGAAATATCTAGATTTTACACATTCTGGTTGTTTGGGTATCAACACAATTCCTGTTTGATGAAAATGAAAAGCGATGGCACTCTTTTTTCCCCCAAAATATCATGTTTGTCATTGTAGCTGGAGGTTTTTTCTGCTTTAGAGATGATTCACCAGAGGAATAAATGTTAACAGGATACAATCCAATTGTGCTTGTAAACCAATTTGTTCTTGCATTTACATGTCTGAAGGACAGAAAGCTGATTCGTGTCACCGCAACAAAATGAAAGGAAATTCACATTTATTATCGTGGGATTCTTTTTTTTAAAATTCAAACCACTGAGCTCTTTTGTTTTCTTTGTTAAATAAAGCTGACACACAGCAAAGACTTCCCCCTCAACAACCAGGACAATTTACATACATTTACATCTTTTATATTCGCTCCTTCAAATGGCATAGTGTGGGAGGATACACATCCGTCAGCGGCACTGACATTTCTCGTGGCCGTTAAGATCCTGCAGACCACAGATGAGGTAAACATGTAAAGCTGTGAAGCATCCAGGAGCTGAGGGTATCAAAGTGATTCTCTGTGAGGAGCTACTTAGCCTCTCTGCCTGTTTAAACACTCAAGACGCACGACATGATTCAAGCGCCTCAGATCAGTGATCCCTGTTTGATTCATTTACGTCTCCTCTTTAGTGGTTGTGATCAGGGCCCAGATGTGAAGCTGATAGCTGACATCTTCAGCATCATCAGCGATATCAAACGACTACGTGAAGAAAACTTCCATCAGCGTCAACTAATCTACCGTCAACTAGAATTTAAATGCGTTTAACAGATTCCGTCTCATCTGTTGACAGTGCAGTGTGCAAATAATGCGGTTGATTACGAGAATAAATACCACTGGGGCGCGGACACACTTCAAGAGAACTGGAATGTATCATTCGAGGTTAACATTTGAAAAGCCGTTGATGTGCTGAAGCAACACATTTCATCTGCGGTGGCGTTCCTGCAGCTCATGGGATTATGTGCAGCTCGCTGCTTTGTATTCCTTCTTTTGATTCACACCGTGGTGGAAGAGAGCTGCCTCTGAGTACAAATGATGCTGTGCTAATAGTTCACTGTGTTTCATATTGTACTATGTGTGCATCTCTTTAAACTACATCCAAGTAGTTTGGCATTTCGAACATCTCCATCTTGGATTTTGGGCATTGCAATCTTGTTATTTTTACAACCACTGAAGGAAAGTGACCATATTTGAGAAGTGACGGCGTGGTAGAGACGCCGTAAACGACTTTGGTAGCGACCTGTCAAACACAAGGTAGCCCCGCCCTAAAACATACCGTTTTATCATCTGTTTGACTCTAAATGGACCATAATGTACTAAATGAACATCATGCTGTATTGAAGAAGACTTGAAACTAGAGATTGAGACCATAAACTCATGTTTACAATGTTTACTGAGGTAATAAATCAAGAGAGAAGTAGAGTCATTTTCTCATAGACTTCTACACAACCAGAGGAGTCGCCCCCTGGTGGTCACTAGAGAGAATGCAAGTTCAAGGCACTTCCGTGTTGGCTTCACGTTTCAAAACAGGAGGTTGCCGCCTGGTAAATGTTGACATTAACTATGTTCAGCAACTTAGTTTAACATGCTAACATTTGCTAATCAGCACTAAACACGTGACAGCTGAGGCTTACAGGAATGCCATTAGTTTTGCAGGCTCCAATTATTGGACAAACTATAATTTAGATGTAATGATGGCATCAAATGAAAAGTCAGAAGATCACTAAAGTAATCAGGATTCATCCTCTGAGAAACATCAATGTCTGTAAAAAAATGTACGGAAATCTATTGCAGAGTTGTTTCAGTCTGGACCAAAGTGGTGGACGGCAACATTATTTGCAAAGCTATAAGTCTAAAAATAATACTGTAATGCATCAAACGATGTTGAATGAGCCCCAACTGAAACATGGAACCTGCAGGACTGAGTGATGCGCAACCCAGCAGATGAAACGTGGAACAGCATCACGAAGAGTAAGTAACCCCTTTTGTTTTCATTCATCACATCTATTCGTACCACCAGGTATATGCAAGAGAAAGCGTTTTGTTACAGAATACACAACATTGCCAATCTGTTCTACATCGGTGTTACGACCGTCGATGGATTGAGCCTCATGCAGACATGCTGTTTCATCCCCAATGTTGCTGGCAGATTCAGATTCACTTCAGCAGATGAATAATTTAAACTCTATTTGAGTCTTTTTACCTTTTTTTTTTCTTTTGTTCGATCTACAAGTCACATTAACGGAGAACAATAAAGGCAGATGTTCGCCATAATGACACAGAAAGCGTTGACCCTGCTGAGACCAGATACCTCCATCATCATTCATCCTCTCTTTCTGTCATTACAGTAGATTGATTCTGCGTCTCTTTCTCCCTCCTCTTGGCATGTCGACCATTTTTCGAGCGGTGAGCGTGGCTGCAGCACGGGGACCTGGGGATGTCACGATATGAAATTTGATATCACAATTATAGTCAGAGGAAATTTCCCTTTTTTCACGATTATTCATCAGAATATTTCTAAAAGGCCTAAAGCTAAAGAAATACAATTATTACATACAATCACCAGAAAATAAGACTTGTTTAGTTTTCACACACTAGACCTTTAAGGAAGATTTTGAATCCACAACTTTTACTTGTACATTTATGTATTTCTACACTGTAGTATTTCTATATGTGTCACATGATGCCGATGATGGTGTTGTTTATTTTGCAGGAGGTCGAGTGTCTCAGCAGCAGCAGAGATAAAAAAAAGAAGAACCCAACAGGATTCCTACTGGCTGACGGCTGTTTACTCGTCGTCGTTCGTTCACAGGTTTGATTTATGAACGATGTGTGATAAATTCATAGAAATGAGGACAATCCATACCTTAAGCTCCTCAGTCACTTTATTCCCTTTAGTGAGGAGAGAGGACTCAGTCAACTCTGAGTTTTTAAACCCTCTCAGCATTCTCCGCTAGCTCTCTGTGATCATTTACATATGAACATGCTGAATCAAATTTAAAGATTAAAATCTGCTTTTTCATGAGTGTGTTAGAAGGAGAAATTAGATTATCTTAACAAATAAAATCACTGAGACCGTGAAGAGTTTATTATAGAATATTATTGCATTATGGTGACGCAACAGCTCTTAGACTCTTAGATCATAACCTTATATTGTGATGTCTTCAGGGATTTAAATGGCACTAAATGAAAAAGCTAAATTGATTCTTGACATGGTTTTATTAAATATAGCCCACATATACAGAGAAGCCCATCAGACCTCTGTGCATTCAGTGCAACTCATTGATCAATGCTGTATCCCTGGTGCAGTGATATTACTGTTGAAAATGATCCTCCTCCATATTACAACAAGTACTGAATGATCTAATAGAGTTTACTGTTTGTCAGCTTTGTATTTGAAGGCTCAGTGGATGTGAGCTGAATAATCACCTGATGTCACACCTGTGGGTTGAAAAATGATCAAGACCACTTAATGAAGAAACTTAGAAATAACTTCTGGAAACACGGCTGTATTTAGAGTTTGCTATTTTTTGGCAGATTGACAACTGCATTGGAAAATACAATTTATTTTAATAAAAAAAAGAAGTTGAGTAAATCCTCTGTATATAAAAACGTCAGGTAGTTAGAGGTTTACTACAACTCCCAAGATGCATTTCAGCAATTTCTGTTACGTGCATCTAGGAAAAGAGATTTTATAGTCAGCAGCTTAAGTCACATTTTGATTCTCACTCAAACTCATTAAATACCATCACTTAAAGAAACTAAAAGTAAATGTTGACATCACATCAGTCACGTGAGTTGTTATTGCCGCTAATCATGCGACTCACGTGAGTCTCTAGTCACGTGACTAGTTTGTCACTCGCCGGACACGTGAGTCGTTAGTCAGTCAAGTTAACGTCCTTTCCTAAACCTACTGTAAATAAGTGTTTTTGTTACCGTAACCTACATTTTATGAAGACAGAAGTTTATTTTGAAAAGCATCATAGTTTGAAGCTTAGGGCCACGGACCAAGCGTCGGACGAGTTGGGAGTGAGACTGTGTTGGATGTGGTAGACGGGTACCATTATGTTCTGTGCTGTAGAGCCCTTCTGTCCTGGGCCGTGCACATCCCATGTTTGTAATGTTTAGAGTCAGGATGCTTTATATTGCTCTAAAAGTTAGCAAGAAATTGGCATGTGAATTTTTGTTTCCTCACCGCTCTTTTTTTTTGCTTTCTTCCTCACGATGGCGATGTGTGTCGACCATGTCAGAGTCTCTGTGATGCTGATTCCCAGAAACGTATTGCTCCTCCTCGGCTCCATCGATGTAGACAGGCCTCCTTTATCAAACAGCTCCTTGGTTTTGATGCAGTTCAGCAGGAGGTCGTTCTCTGAGCATCACTCTGGATTGTTGATTTCCTCTCTAAATGAAGTGACATCTTAACCTCTGGTAAAAAGACATGTAAAATATCAATGGGGATATCCTCATTAAAGGTTTAATAGATAAATACAATTAAAAAAATACCAT